GGACCGAAGAGGATGAAATGATAGGAGTTTGAAGAAAACCGCATGATGAGAAGCTTCATAACTTATAGAATACTCTTCGCACTGATCAACTAAAGGAAGATGACATGGGCAGGGCATGGAGCATGCATGGGGAGAAGAAGAATGCGTATAGGATTTCTGTGGGGAAAGCCAGAAGGAGTGAAACTACTGGGAAGACCTAGACATAGTTGGCAGGATAATATTAAAATGAACCTTACGGAAACAGGATAGGGTGGTATGGATTGGATTTATCTGGCTTAGGATAGTGACCATTTGAGGGCTTTTGTGAACATGGTAATGCACCTCTGGGTTCCATAAAATATTGGGAAATTCTTGAGTAGCTGAGTGACTGATGGCTTTCCAAGAACTGACCTGCATGTAGTCATTTCATCTCTTGCTTAAACATAGGATTGCTATATGATCACACCCTATTGGATAGCACTTCACTCCTCTGTTTTGTCCAGTCATGGCCTCACCTCTGACTCAGTGCTTACTGTAAGGTCTGTCTATAAGAGCTGCCAAAACAGTCTAAAGACATTGAAGATGGCAGCTGCTGTGTCTTGTCAGAACATTCAAAAACCCTCAACATTCTACACAATATGTTCCTGGAAGCCGAACTTGTGCATTAAACTTCAGCTGCAGAAATCTAAGGGTATCGAGTTTGAAAGTTGATTTAGTTTCATGGGCTTCACACAGTTTGTAAAATTGCTCTGACCCCAGTTGAGCTAGAGAGCTCACTTTAGGTTCACACCAAGATTGACTGACTGACCGACCGTCAGTCGCAATATGACTTTGACCAAGGGACTTGGACCTGAGAAAGACTGCACTGGTAAGGACCAGCAGCATATACACAAGACAGACCTGTCCTCTCGTCAGAGAGGGTGCTCCACAGAAAACAAGACCATAACTGTCAAACAGTAATATACTGGGGCTCAGCGGCCTCCGTAGTCTAGAGGTAACGTTCCCACCTCATGACTCATAGTATGCGGGTTCAAATACCCGACAGAGGTCGTCGAATTTTTAAGGGTGGAAAAATTCAGGGAACAAGTCCTCCGGGAGGGACTTTAAGCCGTGGGTCCCGTGTTGTAGCTTTACAGCATGTAAAAGAACCTCATATCTCCAAAGGAGGTCACTGAGCCAAATTGCGGACGTTTCCCGCCCGACAGCAGTCTCTAATACCTCTGGTAGATGGGGGAAGCATTATAGATACCTCTCAGCCAGTAGAGCCGGTCTCGCTGGCTGGGCGGGACTGATGGTAAGTACCAATACCGGTAGGATATAGAGACTGGTAGAAATCATAGAGGGAAGCACAGTGGACTAATATAGGTCTAAGTGCATGGGGAAACCCACCCTCTCCAAATAACTAACTAACTAATATACTGGGGCTCGACACCAAAACTCACTGATTGACTGACTGACTGTCAGTTGCAGTGTAACTTTGGCTTTGACTGAATGCAGTTGTTGGAGTTTTGGAATATGTGCTAGATGGTAAGGATGTAAGCAGACAGTGTTAAAACCCGTCCCCAAGAAATGTCTAGTGAAGACTGAGAAGACTTTTTGTGCTATATATTTGGAGTGTGTAACTCAGTGAGACTGTTATAGTTACTTGTAGTTACGACATGTAAATGGTCAATAAATTCACTTTTTCCAAAACCCCATTGAGAATCACTCTTAACACGTGACAACATAGAAAGGAAGGACCAGAAATGTTTGTTTGAACACACACACGTAGCTTGAGGAAAATTCTGACAGTCTGGTTCGGAAGAATTATCATTACCACATTTATCACATTTTATCTTCTGAATAATGTGTTGCAGAAACAAAGCACTTTATTTTCTGCGTACAGCACTGATAGCAGTGGCCTTATATCTCTTGAGTAACATGTCAGACAATAGGTTGTAAACCTTGAGGACAGTGCAGGAAAAATATTGTTTCATTTTCAAGATTCATTGATGCTCCCATATTTCCTGGCAAGAAAAGGGTGGAGCAAATGTACTTACGAATCACTGTTAGCTAGTCAGGAAATTTTCTGCCACAGACCAGAAAGGGTTATCTGCCATGTGTGAACATAAGATTGTAGATGGGTAGAGCAGTTGGTGATACTCTTCTGAAGATCCGATTTGTGGGGATGTGTGTCATACAGTGACTCCTTTACATTCGTTGCCTTTTAGACTAGTCATTAATGCCCAAAGCTATTTAATATTTTGACCTAGTGAGGTGTTATGTTGCACAGCCATTTTACAGGCCCATGAATGCATGAAGAAGTTGAATTATTATTTTGTGACAATTCCATGTGGGCATATTTAGTGACAGTAGTCTTCCATAATGAAGTGAAGGAGGATGAGGTGGGCAGGGCATGTAGCACGAATGAGGGAGATGAATGCGTATAGGATGGATATTGGTGGGAAAGCCAGAAGGAAAGAGACCACTGGGAAGATCAAGGTGTAGGTGGGTGGACAATATTAAAATGGATCTTAGATAGGGTGGGATGATATGGACTGGATTGATCTGGCTCAGGATAGGGACCAGCGGAGGGCTCTTGTGAACACGGTAATGAACCTTCGGGGTTCCATAAAATTGATTAGCTGCAATATTGGCAGCTCCTCAAGAAGGGCTCAGCTCCATGAGTATGTAAGTAATAATGGCTGTCTCTTAAAACTGAATTATATAAAAATGTGAGGAAAAGAGTGAATCTGGTCTCTGCCCTAAAGTGTTTTTATTTTTAGCCTGGTTATGAAATCACTATGGTATCTGTACATATGTGTAATCTCTTAGAAATTTGAACCACATTCATAAAACTTGGTGTGAACATTCTTCTTGCTCCAGAATCCATATCAGTTCACCATTCATGATCATCTGTGTCATTTGATGATAGTGAGGTGTTCCATGATCCTGGAGATAGGTTGTGAGGCTGTGGACTGATGTAAAATAGGAGTCAAAGAATGACTTTTGTGAACATGGTAATGAGCATTCATGTTGGCAGTTTCTTGGTCATCTATAAACTACTGAAGGACAGTGGTGTCATGGCGAGTGATGTTCTGTATGTAAGGACAGTTTTCAGTTGGGACAATAACGCTGGAGAATAAAAAGGTTAAAATTATACTGTTGTAATAATTTATTGTTATTACTGAAGGGTACAAAAGGCAGAGAGAGAGACAGCACAGCACATTGCATTGTACGCATTAAACAGCTGAAGTGCCTGCACAGTGTATTTGATTTAATGTGAATAGTTCTTGAATGAAACATAGCTTTCACATCAGTTGATATTTATTTTATACTGCTTATCAGTTATACACCATAGTATGCAATTTCAGTTTTCTGTAACAACGCACAGCTCCGTTAGCTATAATTCAGGCCTGTATATGATGGAATTCATGAGAAATGCTGCATGTACCTGCCAGCAACTGATAAAGGTAAAAGGTAAAGCTGTTTCTGTGCTTAACTAATTAAGCACTATGCCATGAAGGCGTATGAGGGAGTGGACATATAGATCCACATTTTCTTGACCTTGGCACTAGCTGGAGGTGAGTAGTCAACTTCACGCCCCGGCTGTTTTGCCCCCGGGGAAAGAGGTCCCGGTACCCATTGGATAGGAGGTTGGGCGGACCCAAGATTTGGTCTGGATGATGTGGAGAAGAGAAAATTCTTGACTCTACCGGGACTCAAACTGCAACCCTTCGGTCGTCCAGCCCGCAGCCAGTTGCTATAACGATTGTGATACCCTGGCTCCTATTAAGCCACTAATAGAGTAAATAAATTTATTTTTCCATGAAAATGCAAATATAGGTCAGAAAAACAAGCTTCATTGCATCTGTTTTGTGGTAATGCCTACATATGATATAATGAAAAGTTTAATGACACAAGAAAGATATATATACCACTGTGTAATATAAAAGTAATGACATGAACACAATATTGTAGCATGTAGACCTGTTACTGGGCAATGAATGCATAGAAACATGTTCCTATGGCAACCAATGAACACGCAACAGCAGAGGAACTGTTGGAAGCGGCGTTTTCTGTGGTCTGCACCACAACCATTGCTACACAACAGTGCAGTAAACACGTCTCTGCAGCAACAGACAAAATACAAGAATAGAAGAGCTGTGCTTTCTGTTGGTCTGTGCTGAGGGGTTATAAGGAGGACAATTGGAGCAAGAGGTATTGTGTATACATTTAATAACATGTAAAATGTAAATTGTACACACTGACAACAGACTTATTACTGCTGACCGTGGCAAATGACAGACCTGTTCTCTGGTCAGAGAGAGTGCGCCCCACATCAAGAAGCTTGCAACTGTCATGCAGTAATAAAGATCTGGTCTTAAGCCCCAGATGGGTGATTTATTGCAAGACAGACTGGTCAACTGATCATCGGTTGTAACATAACCTTGACTTGAAGAATTCAGAACTGTATGGGGTTCTGTGAAGAGAAGACTTTGTTGCTGCAGTTGAAGAATCTCCACTGTCAGAAGCCATTACCAGAAAACGACTAGTGGAGACTGTAACAGGCTGAGAACATTAGTCTGTGTGCTCTAGTGATTTGTAAAGTGTGGAGATCAGTGATGGCACTATAATTAATTGTACTTATGAGCTATGTGTTAAAGTGGTCAATAAATCCAATCGCCAATCCAAAACCCTGTTGAGAGTCACTCCCACTCGTGACAATACTGTAGATTTTTAGTCATACTAGCAAGGTACTGTTATACAGACTTGGTAATAAACTTATTAATATTCAGCTGCATAAATATTTCATAATATGGAACAGAAATGAAATAAATTTAAACATCACACTTCATGATTAATGCATGAGGTTGCTCAATCAACAGGCTGTATTGTAATAAATCGGGACAACAGGAAGGCCAATACACAGGTTCCTGCTACAAAACAGGCTGCAAAGATATACCAAGTGTCTTCATCAAACAGATCTGTAAATGCAGGTACTTGTTCATAAATGGTATCAATCAATCGTAGGTTATAATCCTTTTTTGGCATTTTGGTTTCTTTTAAACAGTTTATTCTCCGTTTGGGTGACTGAGAAAACTACAATAATCTGGACACTAGAACTGATTAACGCTTCTTTCTGGCTTTTTTCTCAGATTTGGTTTGGGGTACAATTGTCTCTGGTTCTTCAGTTGATGCAAGTGGTGTGATGTGCTTGTTGTAAAGTTGCAGAAGCTCCAAATTTGTCAGGTTTGCACTTTTAAATACTATCACTTCATTATTGCCTGAAAAATAAGAAACATCATTTAACATCTGTCATAAAGGTATGGTTTTTTTTAACATAAGTACAGTATGTAAGTGGTGAATACTGATTCTGTGAAATCTCTCAATTCTTTTAATTTGTTTTGCAGTTAAGATTAACACGTGAGATTTTTTACACAAAAACTTACTGTTCCATTTGAGCTAGAGTTAAGACTTGAAGACCAGTGAGAGGCTTCTATACAATTTTATGGAAAATCTGATTTTAGAGTAGAATTAAGCTCTTGAATAGTAAGTACAGTTAAAAAATACTGGCATGGCAGTTTTCTGGAATAGTAGAAGTTCTGAAATTTACATAAAGGCACTCATTTCTTGGGATGTCATGACTAGAACAGTGAGTTTAATTTTTCCCTGTTTTCACTGTCCTATTATTGAGACATTTCATTTATGTCCTTTATCAACAAGTATGGTATGAAAATCACATGTTAAGAAACTTTTAACTATCAAAATTGCAAGGAATGGGTGACTATCAAACTCCCATTGATGCAGTCACTGTCAGAATCACAGTGGAATTCTGCACCTGCGGAGAATTTCTGCCAAGGTCAGTCCACCTTCTGGTGACATACACAGTGTGCACTAATAGTAGGAATATTGTCACTTAGAAATAACACGTCCTGCTAATGTTGGTGACACGAGAAGTTTCCCTTTCATGGCATAAGTTTGCATTTACAGTAGCATGCTCTTCCCAATTTCAAAAGTTGTTAACCAGTACTGAATGGGTCCCAGTTCTCCTGTACAGTATGTACTACTTTTCAATTCAGCTCAATCTTCTACCATGAAGTGGAGGTGCATGGTTCCTTCTGAATTGTTGGTACCTATTTCCAAAAGTATGTGGTGTCACATCCCAGAAGACGATAATCTTAATCGAAGAAGTGGCATCAGTTATTCTTTTATTTATGGTAAACCCTCGCTAATCTAGTTACAGTTAATCTGGATCGAAATAAGAAAAACGAAGAATGCTGTTCAAAGTTGAGTACATACTTTAAAAGACACATGACATTTAGGAAGGCAGATGAGTCGCTTGTACTTGTCTGTTCAGACAAAACTTTTACAGTTTCTTCAAACCTGCATTATTACTTTAAAAACAAGTAAAACTTTTGAGTCTTCTATCGATGAATAAGTGTATTGCTTTTTTATAGTTTTTAAATAAAGGATTTACTGTGATTTTTATTTTCATCAGCACAACTTTTATTATTAAATTTTCCACTTGTTCCTAGTTTTTAGGGCTATATTTTGCTTCATTAATCTGGATTATTGCGTAATACATACGACCTCTCCCCCCAGTTACTCCAGACTAGTAAGGATTTACTGTACATCGAAAATCTGCTTATATAAAAACAAAAAAACACCATCTTATAAACGAGATTTGCTTGAGTTGTTGTGAAATTGAAAACTTCTGCAAGCCCTGTCACACGTATAGAATATCAGTGCAGCAGGCTGATTATACTTTCTCTCTGGCAGAAGCCAAGCTGTAACTACGTGGAACAGAACCTCTGATATGCAAACCTATGCTGAAGTATGCAAGACATTCTGTGTACCTTCTGTGGAGCCCATAGGGACATTACTATGTTCACAACAGTCTTGCAGGTCTGACGGCCTGCGTAACATTTTGTTGCATGCTGTTCTTTATGGTGAGGTGTTATGTACCACTTAATCCTCCCCCATGCTAGAGGACTACCTTATGTCAGGTATGTCCATTTATGCAGTATGTTTACAGCTACTCCACATATCTGGAGGCCATCCCCTCCAGCTGCTACTTGAAGGTACACTACGCAATGGTAAAAACAGTCATTTAACAGACCACATGGTTTAGTGGAAGTGTACTGCCCACCACGAATGAGTATACAGGTGAACTTACTCAATGTAAAAGTGATGGAGGGCTGACTTCGATCACACAGGATATTTGTCTTGATTTTACAGCTGATGTTTGTTGTCAACACCTTAGAGCCTGTCAGACTGAACAGGAATTCTCTGCAAAAGAATCACTATAAGATTAAGAGTTAAAAGAATGCGTGCTTATGATGTGTATGGGGAGTGTGTACATTATTTACAGCACATAGGGGAGTGTTAACAATTATGTAATGAAGGTGGAATGATTTTACCAACAGATGTGAAAATTACATATTTTCATATGAACAGAAGAGGATGCGCCCTACCTCCACATATTTTTGGAGGACTTCTTTGATTAATGTGGGACTTTTAAAACTTTCCATCTAATGAACTTCAGCCTGGGACTTTTAGCTAACTTTATGTGTCTGATCAGGGAGTTTCATTCATTGGGATTATAAATTATTTTGATGGATATGATTGCCCCATTCTAAGCTGCGTTATGTGCAACTGTATTTGCTATACTTCAGTGTCAGAACTCCAAACACTATGCACTTTGTGTTTTAAATACTGTATTTTTATTGGTAGTTGTATCTGGAGTAAAGGATGTTTTTCAGAAGTGAGCAGAATTTATGTATTTATCAACTGATGTGTGCCTTTATCTTTAAAGGCTGTGACATGCCAGCCAGCCTAGTCAGGTGGCTTTACTTATGACTGAAAGGTTACTAGATAAAAAGGTAAAAGAGGTAAAGCTGACCCTGTGCTTAACTTATTAAGCACTATGCCATGAAGTCATATGGGGTAGTGGATGTATAGATCCACATTTTCTTGAACTCAGCACTAGTTGGAGGTGAGTGGTCAGCTTCACACCCCGGGCCGCTTTACCTCCGGGGAAAGAGCCCTAGGTACCCATTTGATAGGTTGGGTCAACCCAACATGACATGACATGAAGAAGCGAAAATTCTTGACCCCACCAGGACTCGAACTCTGACCCCTCAGTCCAGCCAGTAGCCAGTTGCTATACTGACTGCGCTATCCTGGCTCACGAGGTTACCAGATTAAAGTTGTAATAATTTTCTTGTTTGACAACAGATATACTCATAGTATATCTACAGTTGAAGTTTTGTGACATGTTGTAATTAATTCTTCATATTTAATTTGAATACATGATAGAGGTACACAGGCTGAAGAAGTATTTAAGAGTGGATGAGATGCTGCCAGTCCCTCCAATGTATTTGCATGCTTAAAAAGAAAAAGAAATAATAATTGCCCTTATCTATATTTGCAGGTAAAATATGGCAATGGAAAGGCCAAAATTGGCCATTCCAGGGCCAGAGTTGCATTCAGTGAGGCGAGAAACGATATCAATGCTTGGAAAGACGTATGGCTGTGGGCAATGCAGTGGTAAGTACAGCTGTTATATGTGTTCATCCATCCTCTTTTTCAGTTTGTTGTATTTGTATAGGGTACAGCTATCCTCCTGTCCCTCCAAACAAACATGCTGAACATGTTGGCACAGTGGTAACATATCTGATATGGTTTTGGTAGCATCGCGTCCAAATCCTGGCATGAGACCAGGTAGCCCAATGAGTGTGTTTGTGGTGTTCCTTAGTCAAGGCTAATGCTGGAATAGTCCCTTAAGCCCGAACATACTTGTGTTTATCCAGCATGTCTAATATTATCGGTCATAATATGTTGCCACGTTCCATTTGACACAGGCTAACCTAAGCAGCCACAACCAGCTATTACTGTGGACTAAGTTGTTACTGTCGGTCATTGATCCTTGTTATGTTGATCACTTGTTCAGCATGAAAAGTACCCATAAAATAGTGAGGCAGTAACAGGACAGTCACATCAGTTGTGGGGGTGGGGAGAGAAAACCTGTTTCTGTTTTAATTCTTTAAGAAATGCACTACCGCCATATGAACTCTGTATATTTTTATGCATAGTATCCCCCCCCCCAACTTAAACAATGTTGGACAAGCATGTGTATCAGTTTCAGATCCTCATGCATGCACACCAACACAGTGCACACATTCTCGTGTGTGTCGTTGAGAAGACAGTATGGATTTAGACAGTGAAGTCAGTGAGGTCTATTTTGTGACTCACATGTACATTTATCTAAATCTTTTTATCAGTAACCTTTATATACACAATGATTACATTCTTGGAATAAAGTGAATCCTGTGGAATTGTATAAAGATATATTTATGGGAAACAGGAGCCTGCGTTCCATGATCGCAAGATTCAAGAACCCCTATTTCTGTAACAGGCCATGGAGGCTCTTAGGGTTTCTAGAGAGTGAGGTCACAGATGGTGGTCAGGCTATCAGCCTTACCCATGCTGGCTTCCCTTTACCCCCAGGAAGATTCCTGGTGCTCATTTCTGTTGGTGGTTGAGTTGACACCTGGGCCGTAGTGTGGCTGGAAGGATTAGGGCAATTGAAAAATCCAGTGACCTCATTGGGAATTGAACATGCAACCGTCTGGCTTTGTAGCATAGTGTCTCAACCAACTATGCTGCTGCATGCCCCTTTCTTAGATGTAGTGCATAGAATTAAGTGAAACTTGAATTTGTGCAGGCATCAGTCCTTTCCCAAGATATAACACTTGGCAGGTAATGATAATGTGGCAGTATATTTGTATGGTGGCTGAAGGCTTCTGATGGCGAGCCTATACATGAACATTATGATGCTGGAAGCCTTTCAACAGAGGATACGAAACGTCACCTAGGCCAGTTCTTTATGGAACCAATTGACTACTATGACACCTCCACAAAGAAAGTCCTACAGTTCATTCAAAATGTAGGATTAATAATGGGTTAATGAAAAGGAGAAGTACAACAGATCATTGAAGGTCACAGTGCAAGGACCAGTGGCCCACCCTTCATACATACATACATTTATTATTCTAATTGTTTGTATAACAAAGCAGTTACCCTGCCGCATGATATTGTAACGTGCGTTATCATTCTGCAGCTTTGAGCCATTATCTAGATACTGTATTTTGTGGATCATAATCCAAGTCTTCAGCATTTATTCTAACTCACTGTTAATATTTGTCAGGATGTATGCAGTGAGTGCACTTTCTAAGCCTGCTGTATGCAGTGTTTTGTATGATGTGTGACCTGTTCCATAAGACTGGGTGGTGGTAGTGTAAGATGACGTGAGAGCATGCTGCAAGTCGTTCAGTTGGTTTGGTGGGAAGGACACTTGCTACTTTTGTCAGCTCACTCCATGCATTAAAACTCAAGGCACAGTAGACAGGCCAATAGCCTATACACATTACAATTCTGATATTGCCCCTGTAAATCTGTGAAGAGCTACCGTAAAGTGTGCGTGTGCATTATGTGCCTGTCGAACCTAATCCCAAGCCCCTACTACTGCATTACACTTTCAGTCGCGTCACTTCTTGTGTCAGAATGGTACATGAGGGTTACACGTTGAAATAGTGTTCATGTGCAGCACTGACATGAAAGGTAACAAGTAGATTCTGGCATACAGTTCAGGATGCTACAGTTAAAAAAACTGTTCATACAATTATAAATAAATTTAGACAGGATTGTTATTAGGGTTGAATAGAAAATCAAAATGCAGAATGCTTATTGAAGAGAAAGTGGATGAAATCAGTGCTGTGCTTGAATATACCCCCTTGAGAGTCCCATAGATGTCTTGCATAGGAGACCCCAGTATAAAGTTACAGGATTTAAGTTTCAAGTTTGCTGTTTCTGAAAGGGAATTTCAGTATGTGAATTTATATGTAACAGCAGGGACTATTCCAGAATATGATGTGATCTGAGTGGATGTTGATCTTTTGGCATGTTGGTTGCACTGTGGATCTGAAGAGAAGTGGAAGGAATTGACATGAGGAACTTGTCCCTTTTTTGCTGCACCAGCTGAACAACCTGGCAGGTTCTCAGATAACCTCCCTGCATAACTTACTGCATCTGTATGTCACTGCCAAATTCCTTAAGAACTGATTCATGGTGGTGTGGCATTTTGTATAGAGCAAGTGCTATGTATATGTATAGTTTGTTGTTTTTGTTTAATTTTATGACAGACAAATCAGATGGGTGTACTTGAAAGCTGTTAACTAAGTATGGCACCAATCAGGTTGGTTTGGTGGCTAGTGGTAATGCCCTAGACTTAGATGGGAGGTGCTCAGTTTAAGTAGTCCCTCCAGGCAAATCTGGCCATCTTTTCCACTTTGCCAGTGCCATAAAGTAACCCACTAAATAAAGAAAGAATGATGATGCAGCTATGCTTTAGCCTCTTTCATAGGCTATTTAATGACATTTTCAATATCAACTATAGTATAAGATGTCATGATGACCGATGAATGGCAAAGTGGAAAAGATGGCCAGATTTGCCTGGAGGGACTACTTAAACTGAGCACCTCCCATCTAAGTCTAGGGCATTACCACTAGCCACCAAACCAACCTGATTGGTGCCATACTTAGTTAACAGCTTTCAAGTACACCCATCTGATTTGTCTGTCATAAAATTAAACAAAAACAACAAACTATACATATACATAGCACTTGCTCTATACAAAATGCCACACCACCATGAATCAGTTCTTAAGGAATTTGGCAGTGACATACAGATGCAGTAAGTTATGCAGGGAGGTTATCTGAGAACCTGCCAGGTTGTTCAGCTGGTGCAGCAAAAAAGGGACAAGTTCCTCATGTCAATTCCTTCCACTTCTCTTCAGATCCACAGTGCAACCAACATGCCAAAAGATCAACATCCACTCAGATCACATCATATTCTGGAATGGTCCCTGCTGTTACATATAAATTCACATACTGAAATTCCCTTTCAGAAACAGCAAACTTGAAACTTAAATCCTGTAACTTTATACTGGGGTCTCCTATGCAAGACATCTATGGGACTCTCAAGGGGGTATATTCAAGCACAGCACTGATTTCATCCACTTTCTCTTCAATAAGCATTCTGCATTTTGATTTTCTATTCAACCCTAATAACAATCCTGTCTAAATTTATTTATAATTGTATGAACAGTTTTTTTAACTGTAGCATCCTGAACTGTATGCCAGAATCTACTTGTTACCTTTCATGTCAGTGCTGCACATGAACACTATTTCAACGTGTAACCCTCATGTACCATTCTGACACAAGAAGTGACGCGACTGAAAGTGTAATGCAGTAGTAGGGGCTTGGGATTAGGTTCAACAGGCACATAATGCACACGCACACTTTAAGGTAGCTCTTCACAGATTTACAGGATCGTTAGAATTTGGATTAAGTGGTCATAACCAAATTGGGGTACTATATTAACATTTGCAAGGATAGAGTGAGGAAATCCATGAAGAATATGTCAGGATAGATGCCATGGTGATTCACATCAGTTTCTGGGCTTGATGGAGAAAAAGGACAGAAGGCAGCACTTGTAGTTTTCAACGTATAATGCGTTAGTTTACATACACCTGAAACATACTGTGTGGAACATATACCAGTTACCGAATAGTTGTAGTTGTTAAATTCACAAACGTTACAATTACCTCTTTCGTCTAAGGGACAAAAAAAAAATGTGCACCAAACTGTTATGACGTCACGAATCGCATGGAAATCGTCGCTTCAAAGTTGATCTTCTCGAAATATGCTACATATATTACATACCTCGTTTCCTTTACATTTTTGTTGAAAGGGTCGAATTTGACAACAATATTCTTCACTGGTTTCAAATTTAGTAATCGGGTCTGTTTTGCAATTGCACTTGCAACACCAGCAGACCTCTTTAAAGTACCAGAAAACCTTATGGACATCTTCTTGCGGACTTCTGAGCTGCCAACTGTGCACCTACAAATTTCACTATAGCACAACAGTTAGCATATTTGATATCCCTGGGTTTGAAGAACAAACCAAAGTTTTTTCGGATATTTGTTACTTGATGTTGGGGTGGCAAATTATGTATTTTTAGTAGAAATATTCCTGTTTTCTGGTAGTTTCCTATCTCAAAACTGTCACGCGGTCAATACTATTGGGTACAAAGGAGCCAATGAGAAGCTGTCTAACTGCAAAGTTGTTTTTGACGTCACGCACGCCATGTTGATAATCGTGAGAGGTCGCTAAGCCAGGGGGGCAATAGTGTTGTATTTATTTATTGTGTCTTTTTTTTAGTATTTATTTTGCATATTTTGTAGTAGAAAATGTTTCCTGTTGGGCAGCGTAAGTATTTATCGAAATACCATTATTTGTGAAACTTATTACGTATTCGTTCAAATCATCTCTATTCACTTCATAGAAATTCGCATTACTGGTACGGGTTTAAGATTGTTAAGGTCATTCTTTGTTTTCAGAAAATCGCAAGATGTAGCCTGGATTTGATATGTTTAGATATTTGACTTTGCAGGTGTTTTGTAACATTTGTGAGCCATATATTTTGGGTGTGTTTGTCCATGTTTTTCTCTGACAGCACAGTGCATGGTGGTTAAGTTTGATGACCTTTAAAGGCTATAATCATCTTATTCCACTTTTACCCGGACTGTATTGAGTGACTCGCATATTTGACGCAGAAAAGCCCCCAATTAGTAATATTATGCATATGTATTGTGTGACTGTGGATAGATTGCCAAATGATCTTTGGCACAGAAATTGTGATGTTGAAACTAGTAAGGCATGCTGCACTTCATGGTAAGATGTCAGTTTGCAAGAATGTATGTTGACCACATGTACATTTTAATTCAGACAGCCCGTTTTTGACATTACATTGAAAGAATTCTGGATAAACTACTTCAGTAAAGAAACCCATCAGGTATTAAATGGGCTGTGTGACTTATGCTTTAGATCTAAATTCAGTTTGCACATTTTCTGAAGTTACAATATAGTTGAATATATGTTTGCAGCCAGCAAACTTTTAAGTATCTTCTTTGACAGTTTTGTTTTTTAAATTAGTTTCAGAAATTTGTGTTAAAAGATTTTCAGATATATTTTATATGACAGTTTTCTCATTTTGAAAATATCAGTGGGGGTGGAGACAGCTTTACATTGTGATTCATGCGTGTAAGTACAGTTTTGTTCGTGTTCATAAACCATTGTTGAAGAATTTCACAATACAGTGACCATATACTTGAATGTGTCTAACATTTGCCCATATTATTTTGTCAGCGATCAGACCTCTTGTAAAATTCTCTACATAATAGAAGTAAAATAGTCTAACCAGACTTATTCCGACATGACTTCTTACTGAACTGTGATGTGTTAGGTGAAGGAAAAACATGTAGGTATGCTTGAATATTAGAAGAAGTATTTGATTTAACTGTAGTACAAATGTTGAAAATGGTGAAATTGCCTCAAGTTTTATGGAGGAAAGAAGGGTTAACTGACTGGTTGCCTACTTTGTCACACCTGTGTTCTGTTAGTGATTGCTGTGTGTAATGTAAACTGTTTTAAACTAAGTAAGATTTGAGGTTTTCAACTAACTTTAAAAATGTGGTTGTTGAATCATGTTTAATTTGTGATTATGAAACATAAGTTAACCCATTCTAAACTTTGTGAATCTCAAAACAAGGTTCTTAATTTTTGTTCAGTTTTTGGTGATTTTTTGTTATTGCTAGTGGGGTGGGACTAAGTCCCTTGTACTGCGGCCACTTCTAGCTTATTGTACCAGCCCCAGATGATAGGTGAGGGTGATTGTGGAGCAATTGGTGGAATGAAGATTGGCAGGGGAAACCAAAGTACTCGGAGAAAACCTTCCCCGTGCCACTTTGTCCACCACAAATCCCACTTGACCAGACCTGGGCTGTGAGATATTGAGGCTCCCGCATTTTCTAGACAGTTGGCTCATGGATGTGAGGCTGTCAGGATGGCTGCCTCTTACCCGCAGGAAGATTCCTGATGCTCATTTCTGTTAGAGGCTGAGCAGACTTCCAAGGCCACAGTGCGGCCAGAAGGATTAGGTCAATGGAAAAATGCAGTGACCTCATCGGGAATCAAATCTGCAACCTTCCATCTTGTGGCATAGTGCCTCAACCGGCTATGCTACCATGTACCCCCATGCTCAAGATGAATAATGTAATGAATGTACTTCACCATGTAAAGTGCTAGTTAAAATTGTCTTATCTGAATGAAATTAAGTATGGTGTGATAGTTCTTCATGAAATGGTCTGGTATGAAATTGTACGATAATCTGTTGAGCAGTTCTCGATATGTTTTGTGCATCATACAAACTGAGAGAACTCAGTAGGTGCAATACAGAGTTGAAAATGCTCCTAAAAGTGGCACATATTTAAGCTGCAAGCCAGATAAACTGTGCATGGATAATCAGGAGTACAGACCTGCTATATTTTAGTTCAGACATACATTACAAAGTTTATAAGCTAGTTGTATAACTTTTCTTGAAGTTTTAGTATTGTGGTGTTGTCATTAATATGTGGGGCCCTTTTTATTTCTGAAAACATTTTACTGAGTTAATTTTTTAGGAAGCTAAAGAACTGTAGATTCTAAAGTGCTCTGACGATGGTAAAATCTTTGAGCCTCGACAAAGCTATTAGGATTCTTCAGGCAGACAAGGGCAACTGCACAGTGGTGTTTGATGAATCAGAATACAAGACAAAATTGAACACTTTGCTGGAATCTTGTTTTTACGAGCTCTTGCCAAAAGATCCTACAGCTAGAATTGAGAGGATAATGCAGAAACTTCTTTCCAAGCACAAAAATTCTCTCCCTGTTGGTCTAAAACACAAGTTGACTTTGTACCTTAGCAAACTTCCACATCTGCATGGTCTTCCCAAGATCCACAAACTGGATGTTCCTCTGAGGCCTATAGTGAGTTCTGTTGGTTCTTCTTGCTGTGCTCTGGCTGGTTTTCTATGTAAGATACTAAGTCCTCTTTCTGGGAAATCGGAATCCTTCATTAAGAATTCGGGCCGCCTAGTACAGTTGTTGAAATCCGTAAATCTTAAATCTTCAGATACCCTCATTAGCTTTGACATCATCAGTCTTTTTAACCAATGTTCCAGTTGATGAAACCCTACAGGTCATCATAAATAAGCTCCACAATGATGACACACTGGTGGAATGATCTATCTTATGGGTTGAAGCCATCATGGAGCTGCTGGAGGTTTGCCTGAGAACTACATATTTTCAGGTGGATGACAAGTTCTTCCAGCAGAAAGATGGCATGGCTGTGGGAAGCTTCCTATCGCCTTTTGTTAGCAACATCTTCATTGGAGCATTTTGAGAAATTGGCTCTTGATTCAGCACAACATAAACCGTCACTGTGGCTCCAGTACATTGATGGCACATTTGTGGTCTGGCCTCATGGTCCAGAGTGGTTACAGGATTTCCACAGCCCTCTCAATAGTGTAAAGCTGTCCATCCAGTTAATCGTTGAAACAGAGACAGACAGTGTGATTGCCTTTCTTGAAGTTCTGCTCATCGGGGAAGAGACGACACTGGTCACCATAGTCTACAGGAAACCCACCCACACTAGCTGATATCGCAACTTCAACTCTAACCACCTACACATGTGAAAGAGGTTTGATTCAGAGTCTTCACAATAGAGCTACCGTATGTGAAGAAAGACGAGATCTGGTTAAGAAATCAGCAGCCCGAGAAGTGGTCTCCAGCTCAACAGTTATCCCCAAGGTTTTCTTTGACTTGGTCATTAATTCCAAGGGTAACTAACGGTCGTCTGAATCAAGAGCAAAATCCTCTGGGCTCTCTGCGTATCCCATATGTGAAGGGTGTTTCAGAGAAGTTTGAACATATAGAGANGAATTCAGATGGAAAATTAGATCCATGCTAGAGAAGTCTAAGTCATCCAGACCTAACATGACCACGAAGGAACTGAAAGCCGTGAAATCTTTGAGACTTAACAGGGATATTAAAATTCTTCGAGCAGACAAAGGCAACTGCACAGTGGTTCTGGACGAATCCGAGTACAAGGATAAGTTAAACACGTTGCTAGAGTCCGGAGTTTACGAAACCCTGCCCAAAGACCCTACAGCTAAGGTGGAGAGGAAAGTACAGAAACTCCTTTCTAAACATAAAACCACTCTTCCAACCGAGCTTAAACACAGGCTGACTCCATACCACAGCAAACCTTCTCATCTTTATGGTCTGCCGAAGATTCACAAAGCGGGTATTCCTATGAGGCCTATAGTAAGTTCGATTGGTTCTCCTTGCTATGCACTGGCAGGCTTTCTCCATAAGATACTCAGTCCTTTTGCTGGTAAATCCGACTCTTTCGTTAAGAATTCCGCCCACTTCGTTCAGTTATTAAAGACTGTTAACCTTCAGTCTCAAGATACTCTTGTTAGCTTTGACGTTGTCAGTCTCTTCACCAATGTACCAGTCGACGAGGTCCTACGTATCATTGAAAACAAGCTACACGACGATGTCACACTGACGGAACGGTCTGTCTTGCAGATCGGAGCCATCATGGAGCTGCTGGAAGTCTGTTTGAAAACCACCTATTTTCAGGTTGACGACAAGTTCTTCCAACAGAAAGATGGCATGGCTATGGGAAATTCTCTCTCGCCCATCGTTAGTAACATCTTCATGGAGCATTTTGAAAAACTAGCTCTTGACTCAGCTCCGTACAAACCATCGTTGTGGCTGCGATACGTGGATGACACTTTTGTAGTCTGGCCTCATGGTCCAGAGAGATTACAGACTTTCTTGGACCACCTCAACAGTATAAGGCCTTCCATCTCTTTCACCATGGAAACTGAGTCTAACAATGCGATCTCATTTCTGGACGTTTTAGTCATCAGGGAAAAGACGGCACTAGCCACACAGGTCTACAGGAAACCCACCCACACTGGCCAATACCTCAACTTCAATTCTAACCATCCGCCGCATGTGAAAAGAGGCTTGATAAAAAGTCTCCACGACAGAGCCTCTACCATATGCCAAGATCGACGAGATTTGGTCAGAGAAATTAACAACGTGAGACACGATCTTCAGTTGAACGGTTATCCCAAAGGTTTTATTGACTCTGTCATTAATTCCAAGGGCAGTAGTCGTCCGAAGAAAGAGGAAAGCCCTCTGTGTTCTGTTTATATTCCATATGTGAAGGGTGTGTCTGAAAAGTTTAAACGGATAGGTAATCGATATAATATTAGGACCATCTTCCGTACGAGACACACACTTAGGAACTCCCTTATGAAAACTAGACCGGAAAGAGATCCGCAACAGACGGCACAGTGCGTCTATAGCATTCCCTGTGAATGTGGCAGAAGCTACATTGGCGAAACAGGCAGACCTCTGGCCGTGCGGCTCCGGGAACATAGGCATAACCTAAAAGAAGGTCTTCTAGAAAAATCTAAACTAGCCCAACATGCCTATGAAGAGGGACATAGGGTAGGCTGGGATGAAGCTAAGATTTTGGATATTGAAAGCCACATCAGGTATAGGAAATACAAGGAAGCGGCCCATATGGCATGCTCGGCCAACCCAATTAGCCAACCCAGTTTGGACTTTTCTCCCATTTGGATCCCCATTATCAGCAATGAAGTCACCAATTCACATAGAAGATCTGTATGACGTGATATATGCTTTTATTTATTTCTATTAAGTTCTAAATTAGATAGACGTGATTTACTCCATTGTTGACGCTAGTTAGACACTATTAGTTTTTGTTACTAGTTCTTCTTTCTATTCCATGCCGTGGGGTCATGGACCTGGTTATGAGTTTAGTTTCGTGGCATAAATTTCTACAGATCTATCTATCCTGGTTCCACGCTTGTAAGTGTTTGCTACAATTTGTTATGAATATTTTTCTTATTAGCTCTCATGGACTTAGCCTGGTCTCAGGTGTTTATAATCTTCATGTTTTGTGACATTGGTTTGTCCAGTGATTGAGGCTAGCTCTTTCTAAGGGACCCAACTGAATAGGTGTTTTCCTTCACCTGAGGACGGAAACAGATCCAGTTTCCGAAACGTCGTGTTTTTATTTGTTATCTTAAAAACCAGGACGATGGATAAAGTCCAAAATCCCAACATATCAGTGTGTTATACACCATCGTCAGAATCCTATAGTAACTACATATAGAGAATTGATACAACATCATGATGATCTTCAAAACTAAACACACATGAGTTCACTCATGCGAACCAGGCCGGAAAGAGATCTGCAACAGACGGCACAGTGCATCTACAGTATTCCCTGTGAATGTGACAGAAGCTACATTGGTGAAACAGGCAGACCTCTAGCCATGAGGCTTTGTGAACACAGGTGCAATCTCCAACAAGGTTTTCTAGAAAAATCAAAATTAGCCCTATATTCCCATGAAGAGGGTCCTACTCATAGAGTAGGCTGGGATGATGCTAAGATTTTGGAAATTGAAAGTTAGCAGGTATAGAAAATATAAGGAATTGGCCCATATGGCATGCTTAACCAATCCAATCAGCCAACCCAGTTTGGACATTTCTCCTATCCGGATCCCCCTCATCAGCAATGAGGTTTCTAACTCAAGGAGAAGATCTGTATGATGTAACAGATTCTTTGTGGTTTTCCATAAGGTTTCAGTCTCGAGTGTTTAGGTTTTATTCCATAGCTGGCACTAGTGGTGGACACTGCATGTCTTCACAATTTTTTTCTTCCAATTCCTTTGCATTGGTACTCATGCACTTGGTTTTGTTGGTTAGGTTTGTGGCAGAAACTTCTACATCTTTTTCTGTCCTAGTTCCATGCATGTGTGAGCTTTATCACAGTTTTTATGCACGTGATTTTGTTGGTTACGTTTGTGGCAGAAACTTCTACATCTTTTTCTGTCCTAGTTCCATGCATGTGTGAGCTTTATCACAGTTTTTATGCACGTGATTTTGTTGGTTACGTTTGTGGCAGAAACTTCTACATCTTTTTCTGTCCTAGTTCCATGCATGTGTGAGCTTTATCACAGTTTTTATTGTATATTTTCTTGTTGTCTTCCACCGAATTAGCCTGGTCTCAGGTGATTAAATGGCTGTGTAATTCTGACAGGGGTTGTCCAGTGATTGAGATTAGCTCTTTGTAAGGGGTCCACCTGAGGACGGAAACAGATTCAGTTTCTGAAACATCATGTTTTCTATTTTTTGGAAAACTGTATGAAAAAAGTAAAAAAACCCAGTAATTCTGTCTAAAAAACTGTGTTTGTAAATGTTATGAATAATAGAAACGGTAATGTGTCTTGAATTTAGTAAGCTAGTTTGTTATTGATGTTTTTTTTATTTTATGGTCAGCTACTTCCCGAATTTCTAGACACATTATTATTATTATTATTATTATTATTATTATTATTGGAGGGGATGGGTTTCCCCAAGCACTGTGACCAGTTGTTGATCTATTGTGCGTCCCCCTTTAATTTCTACCGTTGCCATGCCCTTCCAATACTGGTGCTCGCTATCAGCCCCGTTCTGCCAGCGAGGTCTTCTGACCTCACTGGCAGTGGTCCCTGATACTTCCCCATCTACCGGAGGAATTGGAAACTATTTGGGTGGGAAACTTTGCCCAATTTTGCTCAGAGGTCTCCTAGAGACATGAGGATCTTTTATGTGCCGTAAATCTATGACACGGGGCACATGGCTTAAAGTCCCTCCCGGAGGACTTGTTCCCTGAATTTTTCCACCCTTAAAAATTCCATGACTTCCGCCGTGTTTGAACCCGCGTACCTTGAGTCATGAGGTGGGAACGTTACCTCTAGACTATGGAGGCCGCTTCTAGACACCTTGCTATGTGACACTCATTTACAGCTCTGTGGAAACAGTGTTCACTTTATTTCTAAAATTGTGAATGAATGAATGAATGAATGAATGAATGAATGAATAAAAGAAGTTATTTCTTTGTGCATATATCTTACTTTAGATTACATTGTATGTTGTCATGTTCCCATATGATGTGGTCACATGTTGCAGCTCCTCCCCCTGGACCTCCTGGAGGTCCACCAGGACCTGTAGGCCCCCCAGGTGCTGTTGCTGTTCCACCTGGTGCCATGGGTCTTGTGCCTCCACAGCAGCCACACCAGCCACCACAACCTCCCGAACTGCCAAGTAAGTCATATGTTGAGGATAATGTTTGTTTACCTTCCTACAGGGAAGTTCTTTCTACAGTTGTAAATTTATTGTGTGTTGTGTATGATTGGGGATGTCATGTCTGTCCACTGAAATTTCATTTACAGAACTGCTCAGAGGTTTAACATTTGATGTTGTAATGTTGGTGACTTTGAATGTCTTCTGGGCTATGGTGCTGTGTATTTCTTTATGTGCATACCATTGTTTCGGAGGGCTCCACTCTGAGGAAAGAGGCTATCCTGAAGATGATGTCAGCAGGTTCCTTCAAAACTTGGTACCTGGTACATTGTGTCAAAGCCCAGAATTTTCATGTCCATTGTATTTTCTGCAATAAAAGTTAGCAGGTGGGATAGCATAGTTAGACTGGCTATGGGCTGGATGACCAGTGAGTCAAGAGTTCAAGTCCCGGGGGTTGCAAGAATTTTCTCCACAACATCCAGACTGGTTCTGGGGCCCACCCATCCTCCTTTGTAATGGGTACTGGGGGCTCTTCCCAGGGGTAAAGCGGCCTTGGCGTTGAAGCTGACTGCTCAACTCCAGCTAGTGCTGAGGAGAAGAAAACGTGGATCTATACATCCACTCCCCCATATGCCTATATAATTAGTTAAGTTTCAATAAAAGGTGACTTAACATTTAAACTTAATCTGAAATGAACTTTTGCACAAGACAGAGGGGAGTAGTAACTTCATGCTCTGGAGCCTTAATCCTGTGAAGGAGCCCCTGGTTGGAGATTGGGTGGGCGTTGGGCCAGTTCACTGTCACATGCACATTTACCAGGGAAGAGTTCTTTGTCAGAATGCAGAATTGAACAGGCTCATCATCATATCCTCAGTTACCAGAATTTTGCAAAGAAATCCAAGTGCAGGGACCTGCTGTAAATAGAATTAAGATTGAGGACAACCTTAACACAAAACATGGATGAGTTCCCTCCAACTACTCCCTTCAAGAAAGGAAGATGAATGTTCTCTCCAAGGATAAGAGCATCACTTCCTCCTCAGATAATGCTCTTCTGCTTGAAAAAGGGACTGATTTCTAACTTCCTTGTTTTCGTTGTTCCATTTTTGTCCCATGGGAAAATTTATGGGGGTCCCATAAAGGGACATCTTTTCTCACAGTTCTACCTTCCCTCTATATGTCCACTCCCCCATACACCTTCATGGCATAGTGCTTAATTAGTTGAGGACAGGGACAACCTTAACTTTTACCTTCCCTCTGGGAATGACCCTGAAAAGGACTGTCTTTTTCCACTGCTTAATTTCTATCCTGTGGTAGGAAGTATGTACAATGGTCCCGTATTGTAACATCCATAAATTTGCTTGGATATCTCCTGATGGGAAGATACACAATCAAATTGACGGTATATTGATAGATAGGAGAATGCACTCAAGTATCCTTGATGTCCGATCATTCAGGGCAGCAGATTGTGATACTGACCACTACTTGGTGGTGGCAAGGGTTAGAGAAAGACTGGCAGTGAGCAAACAAACAACACGCAGAGTTCATATGGAGAGGTTCAATCTCAAGAAATTAATAGAGGTAGAGGGTAAAGAGCAGTATCGTGTTGAAATCTCAAATAGGTTTGCGGCTTTGGAAAACTTGGACACTGAGGTGGATGTTAATAAAGCTTGGGAAACTATTAGAGAGAATATCAAAATTTCTGCCAAGGAGAGTCTAGGTTATAAAGAACTGAAGAAGTATAAGCCATGATTCGATGAAGGATGCTGAAAATTGCTAGACCAAAGAATAGAAGCCAAATAGAGGAATAAACGACTTTAAGAAGGGTTATCAACCTAGAAGTAACTTAGTGAAGGATGAGAATGGTGATTTGCTTGCAGATTCCCACAACAATTTGAACAGGTGGAAGAACTACTTCTGTCAGCTATTGAATGTACATAGGGTCAGTGATGTTAGGCAGATAAAACTGCATACAGCTGAGCCATTAATACTTGATCCCAGGCCTTTTGAGGTTGAAATTGCTACTGCAAAATTGAAGAGGTATAAATCGCCAGATAGTGATCAGATTCCAGCAGAACTGGTTCAAGCAGGAGGTGACATATTACGTTCTAAGATCCATAAGCTAATTACTTCTATTTGGCATAAGGAAAAATAGCCTGATCATTGGAAGGAATCTGTTATTGTACCAGTTCACAAGAAGGGTGATGAAACTGACTGTAGTATTTATCGTGGGATATCACTGCTATCAACTTCATACAAAATTTTATCCAATATTCTCTCAAGGTTAAGTCCATACATAGATGAAATTATTGGTGATCATCAGTGTGGGTTTTGATGAAACAGATCAACTACAGATCAGATCTTTTGCATTTGTCAGATAATGGAGTAAAATGAGACAGTATATCAGCTATTTGTAGACTTCAGGAAAGCGTATGATTCAGTTAGGAGGGAAGTATTGTACAATATCCTGATAGAGTTTGGGATACCCATGAAACTAGTTAAGCTGCTTAAAATGTGTTCAGACGAAACTTATAGTAAAGTCTGTATCAGTAAAAATTTGTCTGATAAATTTCCTATCCAGAATGGTCTGAGACAAGGAGATGTTTTATCACCACTCCTTTTCAACTTTGCTTTAGAGTATGCCATTAGGAAGGTCCAGGAAAACCAGGTGGGACTGAAATTATACGGGACACATCAGCTGTTTTCTATGCTGATGAATTTACTGGGTGATAATATAGATACCATAAAGAAAACCGCACAAACTTTAATTGACACAAGTAAGGAGGTTGGTCTAGAAGTAAACACAAGAGAAAACTAAATATATGTTGCTGTCTCATCAACAAAATGCAGGGCAAAATCATGACGTAATGATAGAAAACAGATGTTTTGAAAATGTGGCACAGTTCAGATATTTGGGAACGACTATAACAAATAAAAACCTGATTGAGGAGGAAATTAAGATGAGATTGAACTCGGGTAATGCTTGCTACCATTCAGTCCAGAACCTTATGTCTTGCTGTCCAAAAACATAAAAATCAGAATATACAAAACTAATTTTGCCTGCGGTTCTGTATGGATGTGAAACTTGGTCACTGACATTAAGAGAGGAACATAGACTGAGGGTGTTTGAGAACAGGGTGTTGAGGAGAATATTTGGACTGAAGAGGGATGAAGTGACAGGAGGTTGGAGAAAACTGCGTAATGAGGGATTTCATAACTTGTACTCTTCTCCAAATATAATTAGAATGATGAAGTCAAGGAAAATGATGTGGTCAGGGCATGTAGCATGAATGGGGGAGAAAAGGATATTGGTGGGAAAGCCAGAAGGAAAGAGACAACTGGGAACACCAAGGCGTAGGAGGGTGGACAATATTAGAATGGATCTTAGAGAGATAGGATGGGATGGTATGGATTGGATTGGATTGGATTGGATTGGATTGATCTGGCTCAGGGACCAGTGGAGGGCTCTTGTGAACACAGTAATGAACTTCCGGGTTCCATAAATTGCTGGGAAATTCTTGAGTAGCTGCAGATTTCGCTTCTCCTCAAGAAGGGCTCAGCTCCATAAGTAAGTAAGTAAGTAAGTAAGTAAGTTAGATAGGAAGTACAGGGTGATTCAGAAAGATGGACACAATTTCAATTGTGTATATTTCCTGAATTATATGTTGCACTTTAAGTCTATAAATTACATTTGATTATACATACATGGAAGTTTATAGATGTTCATTGTGCCCCCCTCCGGATGCACGAATAACATCTAGGCGGTAGCTGAATTCATCCCACACTCGATGACAGATAGCTTGCGTCACTGAGTTCACCGCAGCTGTGATACGGTTTCTTAGGTCATTCAAATTTGTGGGAAGATGTGGTACGTATACTGTATCTTTCACGAATCCCCACAGGAAAAAGTCTCAGGGTGTGAGATCAGGAGACCTCGGTGGCCAGAACTGAAGTGCCAGGTCTTCATTCCCCATGCGACCTCTCCATTGTTGAGGTAGAGATTCATTCAGGAAACATCGAACATTCAGGGGCCAATGGGATGGAGCTCCATCCTGCTGGAAAATATAAGCTCCTGAATCTTCATTCATTTGAGGAACAAGCCAGTTTTGCAGCATTCTAAGATTCTTTACTCCAGTAACCGTGTTTTCATAAAAATAGAAAGGTCCATAAACCTTTGTTAACGATAGTGCAGAGAACACATTAACTTTCGGGCTGTCCCTCACATGTTCGAGTGTTACACGGGGATTTTGTAGCCCCCATATGCGAACAGTGTGCCTGTTGACTTTCCCACTTAGGTGAAACGTAGCTTTATCGCTAAAAGTTACACGAGGCAGAAACAGTTCATCTTCCCTGTTTTTGAGCATACAGTCACAAAATTCTACATGCTTTACCTTATCGTTTGCGTGAAGAGCCTGTGCCAGTTGTAGGTGGTATGGCTTATACACTAACCGGCACCTCAATACACCCCAAACAGTTGTTTGCGATAGTCCAAGTTCCCTACTAGTGCTATGGGTTGACTTCATTTGGCTACGCTCAAAGCTCACTCGAATGTGCTCCGCATTCTCCTCCGATACATGCGATTGGCCTGGGCTTTTACCCTTACAGAGAGAGCCAGTTTCATGAAATTGTTTATTCCAACGATAAATGCTCTTCCTTGTTGGAGGTTGGATGTTAAACTTAGGACGAAATGCACGCTGCATCGCAGTCGCAGATTCAACTTTACTGAACTCATGAATGCAAAAAACCTTGTGTTGCATAGTAGCCATCTCGCTTACAACTGACGCGGTGCTGGAGTGCTCTAACAGTAGTATTAGAAACTTTACAACGTCCTCATTCAAATGTATGTTACAGAATTCAAATGGAACATATAGTTCAGGAAATATAGCCAATTGAAATTGTGTTCATCTTTCTGAATCACACTGTATATTAGTGCTCTGAAGGGTCTTTTTCTATGCCACTCTTCCCATTGGTCAGGACCAGGCTCCATATCTTTATCCCTTTCCTTTGGTATGAGTTATCATTTCCATTGTAACCTGTCTATGTAGGTACCTTGCCCTACATTTGAACCATGAAGATAGAGGCGGAATCCTTCTCTGGAATGTTAGTATCTGCATACAAGGCGAACTGGTGTCACAGTCTAGTAGACTGCAACCTTAAAAAGTCACTTCTATCAGAACCTCAGAACTTACAACTGAAAGTTCTACTTGTCTAGCCACTCGCATGCATGCACACGAGAGTTCTGTTGTTAGCAGCAATTCTTATCTCTGAACTTCAGAGCATGCAGTAATCTAGTCTCATCTCCTATGCTCACCTTATCTCTTCGTTGCCTGTCCCTGAATTTGTTCTCAAGAATTGTTTTTGAATAATGGTTGTTATTTGTTCATGTTATAAAGATATTTATGTTTGGACAGTGATTGATGTCTTTTAAAATTTGTATCATATTTTGAGCAGCTTGTTGCAGGATGCTTTCATGTTCGAGGACATAACCAGTGATTCTGACATTCTTGAAATTACAGTGTTCAATTGTCCGAGAAGGCCCAACTTGGGCCGGGAAGGTCGACCAATAGTTCTCAGAGCAAATCACTTCCAAATATCCATGCCCCGAGGCTTTGTTCATCACTACGATATCAACATACAACCTGACAAATGCCCGCGTAAAGTCAACAGAGAGATCATCGAAACAATGGTCCATGCATACAGTAAAATATTTGGAACTCTAAAACCTGTTTTTGATGGACGGAATAATCTCTATACCAGGGATCCACTGCCTATAGGAAACGATAGGGTCGAATTGGAGGTAAAGTGTCTGTTATTTGATATGTTACGAAAAACATCTTGTGTTGGCATATTTCAGTAATGCACTGAAAGTAAATGTGAATCCAAATGTACATACAGTGAAACCTCAATTTTATTCTTTTGAAGGGACCACCTAAAATCAGGGTGTAAAATCAGGGAAATGAAAATGTTCAAAAGAAATAATAAATATGTGGGTTGCTATAGCTATTACTTCTGTGTGCCTTTTGAAATATTCATGTTTGAACACTGTAAAAATATAAATGCAAATGCAATAATCTTTACATCCTGTCTTGAAAATTCTTGTCATTCATCATGTGTGCAGACAACATTAATGGATAACACTTGAATAATAAGTGGTAGTTCTGGGTCACTGAAACCATGACATATATTGATTAATTGATAATCATAATGAAATGGAAATTTTTGTAGAATTGGTGAACTACTTATACAAATTTTCCTGATTGGAGAATTTTTCCACTTCCGCTGATAATATACATGACCTGTGGATAATCTGTAAGTAAGTAAATTTATCTAAAAATGTTAAGTTTTAATATAGTTGAAGTAAATGATGGGCAGGTTCAGTACTAAAGTAGTTTGTAGTTATGTTGTCATTTGTATGGTAACTTTACGGTGTTCATTATGTAGAACACTTTGTACTCAACACAGTGTGAAAGATGGGTGTATGTGTTTTCATGTGGTGTGTGGAGATATGGCTGATTATACTAGGGATGACTTCCTTTGATGCATATATTTTCCGTGCATTGTTATATCTTATTGTGGTATTGTATTAGATTGGTATGTTGTGGATAGTGCTTAAATTTTATGAGGATTCTGACGGCGTACTCTGGGAGTTACGTTTTGCTTGTTTGTGTTGACAGTTATGGCTGCTTGTATTGTTAGAACAAAGTGTTAGAGTTTAACTTAAACAACACAACTCCTGTAGTGTACTGTTGGAATGCACGTAAAATGAGTGTACTATGTACAGCATACCAAAATAATACTACAACCTTACTATGGTCTATTTTAGTATTTAACCTGTACATCTTTTGCTTAAATTATTTCCAGTAGCTCTTTTTTGACATGTTAAAACTAGATTCTTGATGAAATTACATATTTATTTATTTATTCATGGGACGTGTATTCTCTCAGTGGACTTCGATCCGATCCCCAACCAGGAAAATTAGTGTAAGCAATTCATTAGTTGTCTTTTTATTTTTGCAGAAATTTCCACCTGATCAGTATCGTCAGTTGATTGAAAGGTGCTGTGGTTTTAGTGAAATAAAGTAATTATTGAGATTGTTTTCTATGAATGTTGTACAGATGATTAACAGAAAGGCATATACACTAAACTACACAGCATGAACGAGGATGCCGCAAAATGAAAATAACGCAGAGTGAAGAGAGAGTGTTCATTCTCAGACAAACACATTTTAGTGCGAATGACGATATGCAGTAGAATAGGATGCATTTACATATGAACTGGTGCAGTGTGGCAGTTTCAATTGGTGAACAGTTGTTGAAGATGGCCTTGTAAGGCCAAAACATGTTTCAATTGAATGTGATTTTAATGGCATTTTAAAATAAAGGGGAGATTGTGAAAGATTTTGGGTTGCATTAGAGATAGAAATGAGCGAATAAGTCTGTTAGTGATTGTGTGAACTAGTAATGTTTCAGAATTCAGTATGCAATGCTGTAACATTTGTAAGAAACTGCATTTTAATTTGATTTTATTGGGCTTCTCATATTGTGTTAATAACTAATTTTCATGTATACAGTCCATGGCGGTTTGTTAAAGGATTATGATGGATGCAAGATTTGTGGGTTGTTTTAGGTGACGTTACCTGGCGAAGGCAAAGACCGTGTATTCCGTGTGACAATAAAGTGGATAGCCCAGGTATCATTATTTGCCTTAGAAGAAGCTCTCGAAGGTCGTACAAGACAGATTCCATATGATGCCATTCTGGTAAGTGTACAAATAGAAAATAGATGGTAGGAAAATACGTGTAACAGTTTCTTTGTCGAGTCCTTGACATATTAAGAACTGACTTAATTTTATTTGCTGTTTTGAACTTTTTCACTTCCTATATTCAGAATATGTGACCATTGTCATGCACAATAGAAACCCCATTGAGTGTACTAAATATTGAGCATGTATTCATAAGCAGAAGATCATAATGTTGTACTGGAGCATCCTGTTACACATCACTTACCATTTCTTATTTACCACCTGACATGCAAACTTATGTTAAAATCTTAAAATTCATGTTTTTTTAATTTTAAAATTATTTTTCACACATTGGTGTGCTGCATGTTTTGACTGATATGGTTAACATTAGGTGCTTAGAAAATTGCTGTTGAAATCTGCTGCACTTCTGTTAGTGAATTGGTGCAAAATGATGTGGAAGATAATTAAAATAAAAAAAATGTTAATTTTAAGATTTTGATGAAAGTTTTCAGGTGAGATGGTGAATAGGAAGTGACATTGTGACATAATAATGCCCTCTGCAAGTTGCTTTCATCCCTGTAGTGCTTGTGATTTTGGGGGGGTGGGGAATCTTAACGTGACCCTTAGTTACAGTAACATATGTCACTGGAGGAGTAAGATAATGTAAGTCCTGCCGATGACATGTATGTGTAAAGTCACAGCAAGGGAGGAAAGACCTTATTCCAACTGATATTTGCAAAAAACAGGAAGGGTGGAGATTAGCTGTTTCTAAACCTGCCTCTTCTTGGTTGCTGATTCATGAGGTCACCTTTCAAGGAATGGTAACTGTGCTTGTTGATGCTGTCCATGGGGTTTTGTAGTAAAGGTTCATTCACTGGATAACATGGTATTTCTCTCTGTGCTTACACACAAGAAGCGTTTCCTACACATCTGAAGAAATATCTCTACTCTTGATCAGTGGTTTCATCAACTTGTTCACCCGCATCAGTTTTTCTAACTATACCTACCCTGATTCTTGCTTCTAGTCAATTTTGCACCCCACATGGATTACGGAAATAGTAGTCCAAGGTTAGCCACAAGTGACAGGGCTCTGAGATGACGAGTGCACTGTTACGTGCTTGCCACTATATTGTTCTTGGTTACTTATTCTGGTGGCTTTGCATAGGTTGGACCTCTGTGGGCTGACTTTCTGTGCCAAGCATCTTGGCTAGAATATTAAACCAGAATTTTCTTCAGACCACTCTGAAACTATTTATATTCTTATCTCCTTCCCTCCTTTCTCCATTAAAATAATGAATTATGTTACATCTTCATTCTTCGGATTGAACAGAGTCAAATTGAGCTGCTACTCATTTGAGTAAATGGAAAGTACTTTGGCATGAGCGTGAATTAACATACAGAGGTATGTAACACATATATATTGTCGCGTTTCCTAGGCAATGTGGCAAGAAATTTATGTAAGTCTCGGATTAGATGAATACAAGGTGTGTCCCAAAAGTCATGAAATATATATATATTTTTTTTTAATTTATTGATGATATTGGTACAAAGTGTTAATATTCTTCAAAGTACTGTCCATGAGTATCTACACATTTTTTCCACCGACTCTCCCATGCCCGATACACCCCCTCAAAGGCCTCAACGGGAACCTCATTTAAAGCTGTTTTCACGGCCGCTTGGATAGCCCGAATGCTTTCAAAACGGCGTCCTTTGAGTACAGTTTTGATCCTCGGGAACAAAAAGAAGTCGGCCGGAGCTAGGTTGGGGCTGTAGGGTGGCTGCGGCAGCGTTGCCACGTGGTGCTTCGCCAGGAACTCATGGATGAGCAGAGACGTGTGGCTGGGTGCATTGTCATGATGCAGCCGCCAGTTAGCGGCAATGTCTTTTCGCATGCGGATGACCCTTTTCCTTAATCTCTCTAGAACATCCACGTAGTAGGGAGCGTTGACAGTCTGTCCTTGGGGTAAAAACTCTTTGTGGACCACACCCTTGGTGTCAAAAAAGACGACGAGCATTGTTTTCACTTTGGATTTGCTCATCTTCGCCTTCTTCGGTTTCAGGGAAGCCAAGGTGTGCCAGTCAGCACTCTGGCGCTTCGTTTCTGAGTCGTACTCAAATGTCCATGTTTCATCACCGGTAATAACACAGTCTAAATAATGAGGTTCAATTTCCACACGTTCCTTCAGTTAACTCGCGATCAGCACTCCATTGGCCTTTTGCTCGTCCATCAGCAATTTGGGGACCAGCTTGGCGCACACCTTTCGCATGTTCAATTCGTCCATAACGATGCGATGCACAACGGTTTTTGGAATGTTCAGCGTGTTGGCTAACAACCGGACAGTCATTCGACGGTCAGTATTCAACAAATCACGCACACGAGTCGCATTTTTATCGGTTTGGCTTGTTGATGGTCGTCCAGAGCGGGGGTCATCTTCCAATCCTTCCTGGCCCTCCTGAAACTTCTTCACCAACCTTGTAACTTGCACATATGATAGAGCAGACTCCCCGTAGGCTTGCTTAAGCAGTTCATGAGTTTCAGCAGCTTTTTTGTTGAGCTTTGTGCAGAACTTGACTGCCCAACGTTGTTCGAAAGTATCCGCCATCACGCGCCGTGGTCACAAAACACAGGTGCACTAAGTCAGCGATACTGATGCCTCCAATGCTCGAGCAGACTGACCTTGCGCGTGCTGTGAAGCTAAAGGCCTCCCCCCTCAACCCAACGGGTTCCAGCGCGCTCCGACCAGTAGGAGCGCGGGAAAGAAATATATTTCATGACTTTTGGGACAAACCTTGTATGTTTATTGGACAGTCACTTTTTACACTCACTAATACAATCACTTGGACTTAAAACGCCTTCAGATGTTTCCTCTTCAACTGTTATAACACTCAAAATTATAACCTCTCTCACTTATAATGCCTTCAGATATTTCCGCTTCAACTGTTATACACTCTTGCGCCGTTATTCTTGGTGGAGTGTCTTTGTTCTTCTCGAATCGCTCGTTTAGTCTGAAGTCCTTAGCTCTTGTTGGATCAGAACTCTCTTCTTAGCTCTTGTTGAATCTAAATTGACTTGGTCCTCTGAACTGTTCTTCGCTTATATCCTACCCTCGGACAGGATGGAGGCCACCTTGTCGAAAGGTTCAGTTTCTCTGTTAGCTGGAATATTTATTAGCTGGTCTATTCGTTGCCATGGGAATTCAGCATTTCTGCCTCTGTTGGGTAGACAGTTTCCTAGGTAGCATGTGTTCTCATTGTCCATTGTGCAGCAATGGATGTCCTATATTCCGGCTTTCAGGCAGCACGTCACAGTATATAGCCATAAATAATCTTCTCTCATATATATGTAAGCTGGGATCTTTAGAGGCCTCTGCTATTCAGGTTTTGTGGCCAGATTTGTGTAAACATTTTGTAATTGTGGAAAATTCACATAGGGATTCTGAACAAAGTACAAGGGGGTGTACTGTTCTGTGTATTCATGACTTGAGAATAATGTTGGGATTTTGCAAGAAACCATCATGACCCCTTGTTTACCGACGCCTCACAGGACATTCAGCCAGGAGTTTGTCTCAGTGGCCCCACGCCTCTGTATTTCACAGTCCTTCAATCTGACATGACATACAGTCTTTCTCATTTATATAATGGTGAATGTGTGGCAAAGAAGGCAAGACGTCAGACCGAAATCATGACTGTGTTGTTTGAACACATATTTAATCAGTATAATAGCCATTGGCTGACATTGGTATTAGCATTGTCAAATCTTTGGTCTCTTCTAATATAAGCAGTCCATTGTTGACTTAATCATTTAAATTGCTCACTGCTACCAGTAAATAATGAGTATAAATACTTATGTCTCGTTGATCTAAACAGTTTCCAATCTTGTTCAGCATTGCAATTTTCCAACATACATCCGCTTCTGGAAGCTTTCTGCCACAAATTTTGAATTTTGTGACTCATTATAATTGTGTGCCAAGTATTGTATATCTTTGACCTTTACATTCTTTGACATCTGTTCTAGTAGTTCATGTATAGGAACAACAGATAGCATTTTATATTTTCTTCAACAGTTTGTATGCATATTATTTTCCTCTCGGTCTCGTTTGCCATTGTATGTAGCTGGTAGGATTGAGATTGGAAATAAAGAGAACAGGAAAGGGTAACAGAGTATGAATGTAATGGTTTTTTACCCTGGATATAAAAATAATATTTTAACAGTTTATATTATGTGTCGGTTACCTTCTCAGTTTGACAGTTTCAAGTTGAACCACTGGTGGACAACATGCATTACACTATATTCTGACTGTGTTTAATATATTATGTTAATTATTTCAGGCTCTGGATGTTGTTATGCGCCACTTACCGTCCATGACATACACTCCCGTGGGGCGATCGTTCTTCTCATCACCGGATGGATACTACCATCCTTTGGGTGGAGGGAGGGAGGTGTGGTTTGGTTTCCATCAGTCTGTGAGGCCATCACAGTGGAAGATGATGTTGAACATTGATGGTGTGTAGCCACTGTGGAGCTCTGGGCAGAAGTCAGAACTTTCCTTGGGATCAATTTCACCCAGCAGCTTGAATAATGTTCTTATTGTCAGTGCCGATCTGTAGACGCTGCAAGCTCTGTTTGTTCATGAAACAACATGTAGCCTTTGCTATACATTATATGTGGAAGTGAAGTTTTGCCTATATAGGAAACATGAAATTTCAATGAAGAAAGCAGTCTTCTGGGATTTGGCACCGTGTATATGTGGTGTTAACCGACGTTTCGGAGGAACGTATCGCCTCCATCTTCAGGGTAGAAGAAAAAATAAGAAATCTGCAAGCGAAGAGACCGTGAGAACCGGTCTGCTTTTACCGGTTCTCACGGTCTCTTCGCTTGCAAATTTCTTATTTTTTCTTCTACCCTGAAAATGGAGGTGATAAGTTCCTCCGAAACGTCGGTTAACACCACATATACACAGTGCCAAATCCTAGAAGACTGCTTTCTTCATAGTCACCGCCGTGAAAGCCTCAAATCTTACATGAAATTTCAGAGTTAAACCCTAAAGTGCTTTCATTATCTAATTCATATCCATGAGCCTGCCTTTATGCCCTCATGCTACAGGCCTGAATCAGCAGTTTCTTGAAATGGTTTCTGCTGCTATCCGTGAATGCTGATGACATGTAACAAGCATGGCCTACAATGTCAAGTGTGTTTTAATGAACATTTTATTGTGCACAGTCAGTGTAATAAAGTCGAGCAAAGTAGCATCATTCAGTTAATATATGTTCTTTAATTTCTGTTGCAATGAGTGATTTTCTCCTCTCTTCTGTTTTTGTATTAGGTACATATTTTAGAAAATGGCTCGGCCAGTAATTGCTATCATTTGTGAGTCATATAACACTGCATTGTCATGCCTTGAAATGTTAAAAGTGTGGATAGAGAAATTAGAAGTCTCATGTGGCAGTATTATCAGACATACCAGATTCAGGGTGTGAGTGAGAATGGCTATAAAAGTAGGTGAAAAGTTTTGGAATTTATTTGTAGCTTAAAGCCACACTTAGAGGAAAGTTTGAGCTTGAATTTTTATATGTTGCCATGTCTATTTTGTGTGCGCTGGCACATACAGTTTGTGTTAGCACATCCAATTTATATTGGTACATTCAGTTCACGTGTCAGCACATCCAATTTATGTGGGTTGCCACATGCAATTGGCAAATTTTGGCACATGTAATATCCTCATGTTGGCATATCCAGTTCCTTCTGCAGAAGGCTGCATACCTTTGAGCCTGGAAGAATGAGCATTTAGAGACTAGCTGTGTATTCCCAAGAAGGGTTCATAATGAGTATTAAAGTGGTGTAAAATATGAAGCAGCTTTTGCTAGAAAATAATAACATTTATTACGTAGGTCATATCGAATGTCATGAGCAACTTTTTTTGCATGCAACCTGGGAACAGCAGACGAAAGAGAATACGGTGGTAGGTGGAACCAGCTGTTGTGTTAACCTTGAGTGTCTTACGACATCAATGGCTTGCATCACGTGACCAGTATCACTCCTAACAAAATGGCCGACAATGATATGTCATTTCGCCAGCGTGCTGTCATCGAATTTCTTGTGAAAGAGGAAATCCCTGCTGCAGAAATTCAGCAGAGACTTCAGCGTGTTTATGGAAGTGTGCATGGATGCGAGCAGTGTTCGAAGATGGGTGAAACATTTAAAGATGGAAACACCAGCATCGAAGATGAGCCTTGGAGCGGTCGTCCTCGAACAGCCTCAACTGAACGCAACAAGGAAAGAGTGGAGGAGACCATTGAAGATGACAGGTGTGTGACTGTGGACACAATAGCCCGAAAACTTGGAATAGGGCATAGTGCAGTACAGGAGATGATTGAAAGCTTGGGCTATAGGAAAGTTTGTGCTCGTTGGGTCCTGTGGTTATTGACCGAAGACCACAAAGGTCAGCAAAAAGCCATCGCCTCAGAACTGCTGCAGAGATATCGACACGAAGGCGATGATTTTTTGCTCTGTATTGTGACAGGTGACGAAAGCTGGTTTCACCATTTCGAGCCTGAACCGAAACGGCAGAGTATGGAATGGTACCATTTGCATTCTCTCTCAAAAAAAGAAGGCAAGGACAGTGCCATCAGCAGCGAAGGTGATGGGCACAGTCTTCTGGGATGCAGAGGGGTTTATTCTGGCCAAATTCCGGGAACCTGGGCAAACCATCAGTGCTGCTCGTTATGTCCAGATGCACAAGCTCCGTTGTGCATTGTGTGATAAACGTCCAGGACGAAACATCATCATCCTGCATGACGCTTGCCCCCACGCCGCTCGCCTCACATCGGAAGCAATTGCTAAGATGGGGTGGGAAGTTCTTCCACACCCCTCCTCTAGCCCTGATCTGGCACCCTCCAACTACCATCTTTTCGGATTTATGAAGGATCAGCTGCGTGGACAACGTTTTGAGACAAGGGAGGCAATTCAGAAAGCAGTGCATCAGTGTCTTCGGATGGCTGGAACGGAATTTTACAGAAGGGGAATTTTCAAACTCTGAGAACGCTGGGAGAAATGTGTACAAAGAAGTGAGGATTATGTGGAAAAGTAAAGAAAGGTCTGTAGATTTAGGTGGTGTATTTGGTTTGTCAATAATAAAGCATGTTACTTTACAAAAAATTGTTGCTCATGACTTTCAGTACGACTCTCGTATCTGCTAAATGTAGCAGATCAGTTGCAATGAAGGAAACAAAGGTGTAATGCATTGCTCAACCATTCTATTTACAGTTTCTGCAACAGCCTTTTACAAGGCACAACCTGTAATTGAATTCATGTGTGAAGTTTTGGATATACGGGACATAAACGAGCAACGCAAACCTCTGACAGATTCACAGAGGGTAAAATTTACCAAAGAGATCAAGGGGCTGAAAATCGAAATCACGCATTGTGGCACCATGAGGCGGAAGTACAGAGTGTGTAATGTGACGAGAAGGCCGGCGCAGATGCAGTCGTGAGTATATGGGTGTACTTTTGCTTTTGGTTTCAGGGCTTCAAAGAGTGTTTGACATTATGGGTTTATGTGTGCTGAAATTAACAAGGGAAATTCTAGTTGGTGCTTCTTGAAACGTATTTGTTAAGAGAATGTGCCTGTGTGCTATATATGTACTTTAAATAGTCGTTCATCTGGGATGTGTGGGGAATGGGAAATGCTGTTTGCATGACAGTCTCCTGATTGAAACCAATACAGTATGGACCAGTAGACATGCCTCAGCAGGCAACCACTGAGCTTATTTCTTACCCACAGGTTTCTCCTGTCCATCTGTTGCACAAGGTTTTGGATCGCGAGCCATATCCGACAAATGACACATGACATTATGATTTTCATGTTCTTGTACGGTTTCTTTACCATTTCCAGTAGCACAGAGACATGTTCATCTTGTGATCTCTAATGAACACCATTCATGTAATGCTTTATCATGGTCTCCAAGCTTAACCAAGAGAGAGAATGATACTGTGACATGGCTCTGAGATTCTGTTATTTCACATAGAATCACATAGAACCCTTTAAACTTATGGTTTCCCACTTTGTGCTTTAGTGTTATGGATTGCTGACAACATTCGATTCCTGCATAAGCATATCAAGTTTTTGCTGTTTTTCACTATGTCTAATATTTACATTTTCTCTTCAAAGTCAAGGTAATACATTTTTGCTTTAGTTCTTGTGTGGAAGTCTTCTTAGGGGATAGCAGGTTGACGGGAGAAGGCTTGTAGATATACTGTAATGGGATCACAAAATCAACCAGTTCAGTGATCAAGGCTAGCAGTGTCTAATAGGCCCAGATGTGTAGATTCCTTTCCATTTTTACATCGTAAGACAGATGCAACTCTAGTTTCAAAAGCCCATAATTTTAAATGTAACTAAGAGAGTGGACACTGTCCAACATAATTTTGTGAACCAGGGCTGCCGCGGTGGGAAGCCAGTGACTAACCGCTTGAGCTATGGCGCGGCCTCTCAGAGGATATATGTAGTGGGGGGTGAAGGTTAGGTAGTGCTGCTAGTGGTGGCTGGGAGGACTGCTGTGTGGTGGATGAATTTTGTTTCAGGAGTGATTTTATAAGAATGGTAAATTTTCTTTGAAATATTTTCCTGTCACTTGAGAATTATGGGTGCTTGAATAAAAGGTATCTGGGAGTTCAGCCCTTTTTAAATCCTTTAATTCACCAAGTTTAGCCAAGAAACTTACAGAGGTTCCTGTATTTGAGGTTCTCAAAGCAATGACTATGAAGAGTTCTATCTTCTTGGGTATAATGCCACATAGTGTGGTGAAAGTCGGCCAGTGGCTCAGAAGAACATACCACCTGCTTCATGCTGGTTTCTTGCCCAACCTATTCTTAAGATTAAGACAGTATGTTCCTGTGAAACATTGATTGATTTCCACTGGGCTGTGAGGAGTTACAGTCTAGTAGATAGAAATCATCATTATAGGTGTTCTTTTTTGTATATTATTAAACAGGTTGATGTAGTGGCATCACTGCAGGTTTGAATTGGATAGATGCCCGGTTAGAATCTCAGCCATGCTGCCAGCTATCCTGACAATGATTTTGCTCAGTTCCTCGAGTTGAATACCAATGAAATAAGTCATGACTGTCTGAGCCCTTATCTTTTCACCAGTCATAATTTGTGGCCACTACATTGTGCACATATATACCTGTAGTGTGGTTTTCAGGCTTCCCTGCTTTGTGATGTATGGTGCCAGAAACGTAAAATGAAAGAAAAAGCAAAAATTTCTGTGTGTTTATGAAGTTTGTTGTATACCCCATTTATTGCTTTCTACTTGCCAAGTCTGTATTGCAGTTTTTCCACATCTGATTGAGAACATCTGTAGCCACAGTCTTAGCCGTGTGTCTCATTCATCACTTCATGTGGTTCAGGTTGCCAGTTTTTGCTTTTGACCTATTTCCATAAGTAATACTGCCACTTCCAATCTACCATGATAGTCATCAGACTTCATGAACAGTCTTTGGACATGTTGAGACTTAATAACCACAGATTGAAAGTGATAGAGCAGCATTTTATCTTATTGGAGTCCCACTTTTCTATGCAGATATTGTCGATGAAGATCTTAAGTGAATTTTTCTCAGCATATTGGATTGGAAGAGAGATTCTGAAGCCTCGTTGGCCACCTTGATCTCTGGATTGTATTTTACCGAACTTCACTTATGGGACTGTGTTAAACAAGTGGCCCTGGGTGTAAAGTCAGTGATGTTGACCATTTAAGATAAGAATCAAAAGCCTTGTTGACTCTGTAACTCCAGATGTTCTAACGTGTACAGCGGAAATTGGAATGCTGGTAGGACATGGGCAGAGCAGTGAAAGGACCTTGCTCGAACTTCATGAACAGTACTGGTAAATTTGCACCATTCTTTGGTTTCATGGAACATTCATGTTTCTAGCATTAGTTGTTACAGAATAGATGAGCTTTCAAAACCAAACAGAAAGTTCGTGGGTGCAGTGTACTGTTTTTAGGATGGGGTATCATGAGGCCTTGTGATATGATAGCAGATGCCCAGTGTGATATTTTCAGTTTTGTTGTGCAGATGTTTCTGCTTACAGATTGAATCTTTCATTCTTACCAAAGGTGAAACTTTAGTAATGAGAGTCCTGCAGTTACACAAACACATGCACTTGTTTGAGGCCCACATTAAACCTTGGGTCCCATCTGCCTAACCATCACATTTAAGATTACCCTGTGATAGGTTATTTAATGATGCTTTCAGTACTGAGACTGTATATTGTCAGAAGATTGCTGTATCATTGCAGGGCAACCATTAGATATAATGGTCAGTGAACTGAATGTTAAATGAATATTCCTGTCATACTTTTGTTTTTGCCAAATGATATTCCTGTGTTATTTGGGTGGATATGATATTCAAATACACTGTGTGTTTTGGGAGATTTAACACACGTTTCAGCCATCTTTTAGTTAAATATTATGTGCATGTATTATAAGTCTTGTTAAATAAATTCTAAAAGAACTCTTCATATCCTTGTAATTGCTTGCATAACAACACTTCATCATTTTCAGAACTCTGCCTTTAGGCACTATGCTACAAGCTGGAAAGTTATGGGTTCGATTCCCGATAGTTCATTGGATTTTTCAGTTAACCTAATCCTTCCAATCGCACTGTGTCTTCAGGTTTGACTCGGCCTCTAATAGAAATGAGTACAAAAAATCTTCGTGGGCATAAAGGGCGACGGGTGCATAAGGCTGATGACCTGTCCACTATTTATGAACCAATTTTCTAGAAAATGTGGGAGCCTTGACATCGCATAACCCTGTGGGCCTCCATGACTTGTTGTAGGAATAGCTTTCTTTAGGCCAGAAATTTAGGTGGGAAAGTCAAATGGCATATTTTGGACCTTTATAGAATTTCAGTGATGTATATTTTTCATGGAAACTGGTTGAAGTTGAGCGCATTATGACAGTGTGGTGTGGGAACTGCAGTCATGGTTATGCTTTGGTTGAAAGTTTATTATTATTATTATTATTGTATTATTATTATTATTATTATATGAGGCATTATTTTTTCTTCTTTTGTCATCAAGGACTCACATCGTGGAGTCATGGGCATGAGTATCTGTGCGGTGTTGCCACATCACATTTAGCTGCAGTCACCTTGGTCGGGCGTCTAAAATTATAATCTGAAAAGTAATATTCTCATATGTTACAACAACTATAGACAGATTCTTTGGGCAAATAATTGTGCTAATTTTGCTTGTACATATATGATTTATTTATTTGTATGTAAACATCTTATTATATAATTATGCTTTTCATTCCCTTAGTTTTCCACTTCAATTAGAGAATGGGCAAACTGTGGAATGTACAGTAGCAAAGTATTTCCTGGATAAGTACAAGATGAAACTGCGATACCCGCACCTGCCGTGCCTACAGGTGGGGCAGGAACACAAACACACGTATCTGCCACTTGAGGTAAGAGCAGATCTCCACACAATTTGTAAGCATAAAGATGATTTGACTCCTCAGTTCCAGTAATAGTAAACACATCAATAATGTTGAATTATTATTTGTTACATTCATATTAGTATGGTAACCACTTTGAATAGCTTCGAAGATGCAGGTGTAGTGTAATACTTCAGGTGCATTCATTATGTTTTTGTCTGTAGGCAGCATAAATTACATTTTGGTTTAATTATATCAGTGTAGACCAGCAGCAAAGTGTACCACATAAATTAGACAACACAACAACAGTAACAATTGACATCCTGGTGATAAGAGAGGATATATTTGTGCTCAAGAAACAGTTAACATAAACGAATCTAGCCAGTAATAGAAGAGTCAGACAAAAAGATGCGTGGTCTGCTACAGCAACAGACACTAAGCTGAATACAGCATATGACACTTTTAAATTAATTTTAAAAATTAGTGAAATTAATTTTTAATTTTTAACTTTTAGTTTCGTAAATATTTAAATCCACATGTAGCAGTTAGAATATAAATGTACCTAGAATGCATTCATTTTAAGCCTATATATGGAAATATGGATACATGCTTTACAATTCAGTAACGAAAGTGTGTAAAACACAGCGCCTGAGGATGACCCTGTAAAGGTCGAAACATGTAGTGGAACATAATAAATTATAGTTGCGTTGACAGCGAAGTTTGTATTATTAGTTACACTCACATAACAGAATGCAAACATTAAAAATAATAAAGTGGGATTTTTTAATGTGAGAAGATGCACAGTTTACTGCAAAGAGCTATAAAATATCACTGATGGTTATTACTGAAACAGGTGTAATGGACAGCGCCTAAAAACATTACAGGAAGCAATTAAGCTGTACCTGAGGGATTGTAAAATTTCTGTAGTTAACCTGTGAAGTGAATAATGCATGCATGGATAATCAACAGTCTACTTTTATCATTTTTATGTGTGTTATGAAACTTAGATTAAACTGTACCTGTAGTATAGCTTAGCAGTCTCTGGTAACGCATATGTCCATTCCTTCTGCAGCTTATCTCCCAGACAGACCATTGTGGATGCATTTACCGCTCCCTCCCTTTCTCCCAGATCCAGTGTATGAAAATGTAAGTTGTTTATTTTTAAAGGGGGGTTCAGTTGAACTTTTAGCCGAGTTGTTACAAACTCTTTTAAGTTTGTTGGTCAACCCCCAAAATTTGGAGGATATAAATTTCTGCGCTACTTTTGTTTTTGCAGGCACTGGTCTCTTACATATAGTAATAATTTGTAGGAATGCCTTTACATAGCAGAATTGAAGGTGTATCTTTATTGATAAAGTGTATGGCACAGGTCTGATTTTTTTCTTATTCATCGTGGTTGATGAACTCATGGTAAGGCAGTGCGCCTTTTGGATTTTTCTGCTCTTTGTCCTTCAAAGACTCAGCTGTTTTCAGTCTGTTTAAAATTTTTGTTTAGACACTTAAAATATCTTGTGGAAAGTAAACTTCTTCTAGAAAACGTTTTTGAATGTTTCTTTTCACCTTTGGTGTGTATTTCAGAAAATAAGCTCAATCTGTTTAAGATTTTTGCTTTTACTCTTGATGTGCAGAGTCCTGCATTCTTATGAACTGTGTACAACTCTTATTTTAAACTGATGATTATTTGTCTAGCAGTTACAAGACATTTGGTTCATGTTTTTTCTGAGGCCAGTGTTCAAGTATGGAGGGAAGTCAGGATGCAGTTTCTAGGTGGATATGCTGGAGAACTGTACCTATGAGAACTTAGATGAGTAATTAAATTGTCTAAGGCTATTCATTTGGACTTTGCCCTATGATCTTAGTTTTTAATGTAAAACCAAGATGATGGACATGTCCAGCATGATGATCTTAAATGATGTGGTACGCCATCATGAAATACTTTAAACCTAGAATAAATTTTTCCCCTGTGGAAGACCACAAAATAACATTTCTTTTTGATACATGGATCCTCCTACCCACCAGATTTAAAATTATTAATATATGTTCACTTATTATTGTTTATGTTAATTTGGCTATATTCAAGATATAATTAATGCTCTATGTATCCAGATATTAGCCATTTTAACATATATTAACTTGTTAATGTGCTTGTCAAAATGGGTAATGTACAGTGGGCATTTAAATGAACGTGAATTTAAATTTTACATCAGAAAGTTAGTTGAGATTTTGAGGTTCTCATGATAATGACTGAATTTACTGTCCTCTGAGATGTGACACTATGTAGTTTGGTAGGTGAGTGATAATGCATTGTCTCAAGTCTTCCTTGGGCCCCCAAGACGTGGCAGGTTCCTTTGGAACAGTTTCCTGTCTATCCAGCTACTTGGAATTGCATCCTAGAATACTGATATTTTCAATATCTTATCTGTTTTTAGTTTTGTGTTTCAGTTTTATATCAGAATTTCAAGAAAAAATTTAATTTTTAAACAGTGAGGCTATAACACAGAGTAGATAGTTCTTTTAAAGTGAATTATCACCAGTTTACCTTCAGAACCTTTAATCCTTACTCATGATGGCACTTTTTTGTTTTGGTGCTGTCTGCTTTTCCTGACATTTGAAAATCGTGCCAGTCCTTGTGGTGACTTTAGACTTTATGCATATGTAAATGATTGTTGACCACTGAAGCTAGAGTCCTCACAGTGTAGAATGATTGTGTTTCTGTTTGTCATCAGGTATGCAATATAGTGGCAGGGCAGCGCTGTATAAAGAAATTAACAGACATGCAGACATCAACAATGATTAAGGCTACAGCCCGCTCAGCACCAGACCGTGAAAGAGAGATCAACAACTTGGTCAGGCGGGCTGACTTCAATAATGATGCCTATGTTCAAGAGTTTGGCCTCACTATCAGCAACAATATGATGGAAGTGCGGGGACGCGTCCTACCCCCACCCAAGCTGCAGTATGGTGGCAGGGTTAGTTCGCTCAGCGGACAGGTCTCTCACAGTTTCATTATTATATTTTGTAATTCTTATAACCACTAGAAATAAATACTACTAATATGGCTGGTTACGTACAGAAAGGAACAGCATTATTGATGTATGATTTCTTTTACGATGCTTTCATCGTCTCAGAGTATATAACCAAGTGATATAATTTTTTTAGTGGACTGCCTGTAAAGGGGACCATGGAATAACACAGTATTTTTATTTATTGTTAATAAGTAAACTGTAAGTAAGATATGAGGTTTTTACAGCAGTGACTACGAAGAATGACATCATCTGGGATTTGCCACTGCGTAGATCCTGTGTGAACTGACTTTTCAGAGGAATGTATCGCCTCCATCATCAGGGTAGAAAAATCTGGGGTGTGAAGCTGACCAGTCAGCTCCACCTAGCGCCATGAGCAACTCATGGATAAAGGAGTGGTACAACTGCTTCAAAGATGGCCGCACATCAGTGGACAGCGAACCGCGTTCAGGCAGTTCCTCAACAAGCTGAAATGAGAATTTCATTGAGCAAGAGCGGACTTTGGTCATGTAGGACTGTCGTATCACAGTCCAAGAACTTATGAACGAGATAGGGTAAGCAGTGGATCGGTACATTCAATTTTGACCAAGGATTTGGGCATAAAAGTGTCCGCGAAATTTGTACCGAAACTGCTAACAATGGAGCAGAAGCAACGCCGTCTGGAAATCGCACAGGACATGCTGGACAATGCATACAGTAACCCCAACTTTCTGAACACCATGATCACAGGCGATGAGTTGTGGGTTTATGTGTACGACCCAGAAACCAAGATGCAGTCGTCACAGTGGAAACATCCGACATCCCCGAGGCCAAAAAAACACGGCAGGTCTGCAGCAATGTCAGGGTTATCTTGGCCGTTTTCTTTGACTCCCATTGGGTTGTGCATCATGAGTACGCACCACAAGGCCAAACCATCACAAAGGAATACTACCAGGAGGTCCTTTGTCACCTTTGTGATGCTGTGCGGGGCAAACGACTGGATCTGTGGGCAGCAAAAACTTGGCAGCTCCATCATGATAATGCACCCACCCATTCTGCGCATCTGATTCAGACTTTTGTCTCCAAACACAACATCCCTGTGATTCGTCAGGCTCCGTACTCTCCCGACATGGCTCTGTGTGACTTTTGGCTATTTCTCAAGCTGAAAATGCCACTGAAAGGAACCCGATTTGAGTCAAGAGAAGACATCATGCGGAATGTGACAGCCCAGTTGATCACCATTCCAAAAGATGCTTTCCAGAAATGTTTCCAACAGTGGCAGAAACGCTGGGAGAAGTGTGTGCATTACCAAGGAGACTACTTTGAAGGGAATTAGGGTTTTGTACCTCCAAATCAATAAATGTATTTCTGCCGACCAAAGGTTCAACCATGTATATGGTTAGATTTTGGCAGGGTAGCATGAACTATCAGGCGTTTGTTACAGATTCATCTCTTAATGGAAGATTTGTAACAGTTTCATTGTTGAAGCACGTGCTCGACCATATGTCCCTGTTTAATAAGGCTTCATTTTAATTTTAACAAATTACTTCTCAAGCATTCAGTCCTTCAAGAATTATTGCAGAGAGACTTAGTAGTATGTTAGGCTGGAATAATTTGAAAGCTCTTGAGTGTGAGTGCTAAGTGTGTTTTTAGAGCAGGACTTTTTTCTAAAATCTTCAAAGCTCCGTTATGCCCTAGAATTTTGAAGTTGATTTAAGTATGAGTAATATTTAAAAATTCAATTCCTTCCTCATAGAAGACACATCCCATGTCCATTACAAAGAGCAGCTGGTAAATTCTATTGGGGAAATGTTTATTCTGAGAACTATATGAAACATGTAAATCGACTGTATGCCAAAAATGCAGAGTTTTTTATAATGTTGAAGTAGATGGTACATATGGTAGCCACTGTGCTTTGAAGGTTTAAACATTTTTTTTTTTTTTGCAATCATTAGACACTTGTTCTCTGAAATATTCTTATTCACTGGGTCAGTGAATTATAAAGTGATGTAGTTGGACATGCTGTTCCTTGCTGTGTGGAACATGGTCCTACCACATTCTGATGTGCTTAACATTTTTTTGACAGTTTAGTATAGTATTGAGATATAGTAAACCCTCACTAATCTGGTTACAGTTCATCCATATGTTGGATAATTCAGATCAAAATACAAAAAATGCTATTCACAGTTGACTACATACCTTTAAGACACGTGGCATTTAGGAAGGCAGACTAGTCACTCTGACTGCACAGAGACAGATGAACATATAATACATTGTCTTGCATGTTGTTCAGTATCACTGTTGACTCTTAAGTAGGGCAAATTTTACTTCATACTTCACTAATCTGGATTATTGCTTAATCTGGATGACCTCTTCCCCCAATTAATCTGGATTAGTGAGAATTTACTGTACTATTGATTTAACCACTAATATGCATTGCCCTTTTATAATGTGTGGGTGATTGCTGGGCTTTAATGACACTTTGGGAATGAAATTCAGAGTTTAAAATCAAATGTTATTTTGTTTGTGTGTAAATATTTTTTGCCATGTGTGTACTTTATTTTCAGAAACAGTTTGTAATTTGTTTGCTGAAAAAGAAAAAGAAAGATAACATTATAGAACTTCGAAAAATCAGTGATTGTTTTGCTGGTTTGTGTTGATGTGTGACAGACGAAACAGCAGGCCATGCCGAACCAAGGAGTATGGGACATGAGAGGGAAGCAGTTCTTCACGGGGGTAGAAATCCGAGTTTGGGCCATCTCGTGCTTTGCTCCGCAGAGGACTGTCAGAGAAGATGCCCTTAGGTGAGGCAGATAAGTTGCAGTTTGTGGTATCTGTTTAGTGCCTGTGTTAGGGGTGTAAACTTCGTTGAATTAACTGTATGCTTCATTGTATTGTCTGCAGATATTTGTGCTGCTTGGTTGAGATAAGATATCTGAATTAACAGAAGTGTTATCTTAGCTAGGGATTGAATTTGGTCTATTTTTTATGCACGTTCCATCCTTAGTGAATAGAAGGTGGACTTCTTCACTCTGGTGTGCTCAAGGTGGGAATTTCGCTTTGATGATTTGTTCTGGAGCTCAGTTGGATGATGCAGTGTAAAGAGGTTAAATACAGTTGAAATGTAAGCATGCTGGTTTTCATAGCATGGCAGTCAGTTCATCACCATGGAGGGAGCAGCTCGGGGTTTTGTTATCTGTGCTACTGACGCTCCTTCTCAAATACAACTTCATTAGTGATTATTTTAAAAAGAGTTGACATAGACCTGTTACATTTGATATAGAACTGCCAGAATTGAGGCCCTTCTGCTGTCATGCATGCCTTTCAGCACATAAACAACTTTTGCAACACATTCTAAATTTCTGAAGCATATAATTCATCGCCCACTTGCAGCGCACCTATCTGTATAATGTAACTTGCTGAATTACATTAGGATTTTCTTCTCTTCATATTCATAAATTTTATGTATTGGCATGACCACTAAGATTACTCCTTATTGGGTATGAAGATCAGATGAGGATCCATGACTGCATCATATATACTTTTCAGCAGCCATTGTAAGAGCGAGTTCTTACTTCATAATCTATGTTTGCTTAAGCTCATACACATATGTTGGTTTATACACATGAAATTTGATTAGTCTTAGGCTGTGAATGCAGATCCCAATGAAATAATCATTTTACTGTACCAAGCAGCTAAATGTCGTTGAGGACTGATTTCTTATCATACCAGAATGTCGTCTTGTTCAGTTAATGACATTCCCTGATCTACCACTTTCTGATAAACATTAATATATACAACTCTATGGGAGCTGGTTCTTGTGGGTTGAATATCTGAATGCATTTCCTTTTAAGTTTCTTTTGTTACAGAGGAGAGGCATGCAGTGGCATAGTTGGTTGAGGCACTTTGCTATAAATTAGAAAGTCGTGGGTTCAATTCCCGATGAGGTCATTGGATTTTCATTTGACCTAATCCTTCCAGCCACACCATGGCCCAGGGGTTGACACAGCCTCTTAACAGAAATGAGTACCAGGAATCTTTCTGGGGGTAAAGGGTGGCTGGTGCGTAAGGCTGAGTACCTTACTGCCATCTTTGAGCCGACTGTCTAGAAAATATGGGAGCCTTGACGTCTCGCAACCCTATGGGCCTCCACAGCCTGTTACTGGGATAGCTATACCTTAGTTAAAAAAAATTCAGCCATCAGAATTCACTTTTGATTTGTGTATCTTGATGCAAAGACCTCAAGATAAAAGGATCTGAGAAGGAGAACCTTCACAATATCATATAGGAATGATGATTTCGGGCAACATGTGCCCTTGTTTGTCTTTACTGTCATTACTTTCCTGGTCATGGCACGATGCAGAATATATGGATGTAGGTTGAAGAAGGTCCTCCTGCTATCCAGAAGTGCCATTACACAATGTAAAGCAGGGTTGTGGTTTGCTGTATGTACATGGTAGATCATTTGCATTAGAACTTCAGTGTATGTCAGAAATTTTGTGCATGCTGTGAAGCGTGTTTGAAGGCAGAAATGAGTCACTTCTGGCAGTTCTTATAAAGTTCAGGAAGTCTGTATCACCATTTTACAGTGATCAGCCATAAGTAGAGATAGTTGGCACCTCAGGGAGGGAACTCCCCAACACTTTTCCCTCAGTGGTCATGCCCTCTTCTGCTGCCATTCTATTGCAGGTAGCATGTGTCTTGTCTCAGTTGAATGCACTGCATATTCACCAGATCTTAACTAGCTACATACCTCCCTCCTTTCATAAATCTCACATCTGTCATCGGTTATTGGAACCATAAACTGCTTATTTTTCTGTGTGCCTTCTGGTTTTTTTGTAGGATTCATTCTATGATCTTATGATAATGTGGCAGTTATATGTGGGCCAATGGGTGTGCGATGTGTTTTTATATTCTTTTCTTCCCATGGCCTGCCCTTATGTGGAGATTGTGTTATCTTCACAAATGGTATTAGAAAGGGACATGATAACATAAAGCAAAATGAGAATATATAGACACACACACGTATGCACACACCTTTTAACATGTAACTCAATTGATAATGTGTGCATATTTACCATCTTTTAGTGCATACAGTTTCACTTGTCACTTCACACTACATATTTCGGCATCATTCTGCCATCCTCAGGTGTATCAATCACGTTAAACCATTGCACTGCCTGCCATCAAGTGTCCATTTATAAAATGGTATAAAATGTGTGTTCGTCGTCGTCCAGTAATAAAATTTATATATTAAAACTTTAAGATTATCATCTTACATGTCATATATCAAACTCGTGTGTAACACCATTCATCCGCTGTGGGAGTTGTTGTTCTTATGTTTTAATTGTTATATATTGTGTCTTATGATGTGTCTTTCTTATGTGGCTGCATGCGTTGTATTGCTGGACATATGTGTGTGTGCCATTCCAAGTAGAATATTCTAATGTTTAAAAAATTATTTTAATATTTGATACATTTTGTAATATAAGGGCATTACATAATCAGCGTACCTGTACAAGGCACTCCCAATGTGTAAACACTGGCTAGTGTAGGGAGGTGTAGCATGTAGAAGGAAGGGTGAATGCAAAGCTCATGATGGCCACAATAGGCCAAAACATGTAGTACAGGCAAATGTATGGCGTGTTTATACCAGAATAGTGTTCACTGAATAATATTAATAAACATTATTTTANCCTGACGAAACATACACGACGAACCACGGCAACGGGTTAATAAACATTATCTTGCACACAATATGATGCTACAGTATACTATGTCTAACATTTTCCACAACATTTTTATGTTGTGACATCCCAGAAGATGGTAATAGTTTCCTTCTTATTTGTACTGATGCCAATGAACGTAAGCAGAAATATGTATGATTCATTTTGGTTATTGTATTTTCTTAAAGGAACTTCACAAGTCAGCTACAGAAGATTAGTAATGATGCAGGAATGCCAATAATTGGACAGCCTTGTTTTTGTAAGTAAATTCTGAGTACAGAGTTCAGTGCATGCCATTTGGTATTAAATGTTATGTGCTTGATCACAGTAGTGCATGAAATAGTATTTATGCGCTTAGAAGTGACAATGTAAATTTATATAGCGGCTGATAATAGCAGTTCCTTTCTTGGATGATACATTTCAAAATATAGTATGATTCAGTGTAAAATTGTCACCTCTTTGTGTGCATGTGTTGTACTGTGTTGCTCAGAACTTAGCTGAAGTAGTAATGCAGCTTGCATTTGGGATGTGCCTGGATTGAATCTCGGCTAGGACAGTGACTGTTGTTTTTTTTTTTTGTGTGGGTTTATTTAGCTCCTCAAGGAAAATAGGCTACAGCCATGTTCCTCCACTTTAGATGAGTAAATGTATTCTGTTAGTTCCCTAGTGTCCATTATTATATGACATGGCTGCACATTGAGTGTAATGAGTGGGTCTGAACAGGAAGTCCAGTGAGAGTTTGTATATGCCTGCATCGTAGAAATCTGCCACCGGACCAGTGAATTAGTCTTTTACCGCCTTCTTCACATCTTCATTACTATCCATACCACCCCAAAAACTGCTTCAAGTGTATGAACAAGTGAAAATCACTTGGAAGCAGATCCAGACTGTAGGGAGGATGGACGAAGATGTCCCAGGCAAAGTCAGTAAGTAGCACACATGTGCTAGCAGTCTTTCTTTCTGGGCAAACACATGCTGCATGCATCTGCCAGGGTACATTAACAGATTCCAATTTGTCCCCACATTAGGTAGACTGCCCTACAAAACCACCCTATAAGCGATTTTCATTTTTATTGATATTCATTGTCTGTGAGTTACTTAAAAATACTGGCACTGGTCTTTCTGCGTCACATTTGGCCTACTAAGCTTTATAGTGTCATGATACCAGTCACATATGTCAGCAGAACCACTTCAGGCTAGCTTTGCATTTACACTGGCATTGACTCTGACATGGACCATAAGAGCATGAATGTTGTCTAATAAGAGATAAGCAGATTTTGTGAGCTTCCAAAGGACATATGAAGTTCTATTGAGGATGACAGTATGATACACCATTTTAGCATATTGACTCATTCTTCTATATGGATGCATTGCTTTCTTTCAACATTATGTAGAAAATATAAATAATTAACAGTTAATCAGGTGAAAAGGTTTTGTGATATTTGATTGTTAAATACCTCATAAATGAACATAAGTTACATATATAGCTGGGGTAGCTCAGTATAGTTACTAGGCTGTGAGCTGGACTACTAGAGAACTGGGGTTCATTTTCTGATGGGAAGGGGGCAGAGGTTTCTTTCTTAACCAGTGCATCCTCTTTAACTCCATGGCACCCTCAGCCTCCTGTCCAGTTGGTGCTGAGCTGTTTTCCAGGCTGTAAAGTGGCTGGGGCATAAACTTTGCTGCATCTAATGCTGAAGGTTAAAGCATGAAGCAACTCTCTGTTCCCCCACACATTGTAATAGTGTGGTGCTTAAATAATTAAGCATGAACAGCTTTGTCTTTTACCTTTACGCAAATAACTTACACTCTCTTTCCTTCTTTTTTCCTTCGTTCTTTTTTAGGTAGGGTATTTTACAGTGCTCTCAATATCAGAGACTATGTGGTGTTGACGTTTGTTCATGTATTAATATCTTTAATAATGGTCTGATGGTACTGAAGCATATAACCTGATAACTGTTATTGTATTACAATTTCTATGTGTTAATCTAGACAGAAAATTAAATAATTCAATTGTATGTGGAAAACACATAACATTTGTTTATACAGGGCGTTCAGTCAAGGAGGAAACTTTGCAACACTGCTGACCAGGCCCAGTATTCCTAACCGATTGTTGCTGTAACTGTAACAGCGCATGTTTATTAGCGCTAATGACTCATTCTGCTATCAGCAGTTACAGCAGCAATCTGTGAAGAATGTTGGGCCAGATCAGCAGTGTTGCGAAGTTTCCTCAACACACACTATATGTACCATTTGTTTGATAAATACATACTCAAACATAATGTTATGTGGTTGAGGCATTATGCTATGAGCCAGAAGCTCACATGTTCAATTCCCGATGAAGTTGTTTGATTTTTCAATTGACCTAATCCTTCCAACCACACTGTGGCCCTTGATTAGGCTCTGCCACTAACAGAAATGAATACCAGGAATCTTCCTGGGTGTAAGGGGCGGCCAGTGCCTAAGGCCCACATTACCACCACCATTTGCGAGGTGATTGCCTAGAAAATGTGGGGGCATCAACATCTTACAACCGTATAGGTCTCCATGGCACGTTAAAGGGATAGATTTACCTTTTTACCTTATTTGTCATTTCAGCAAGATTGTCAGTAGCTGAGATTATTTAGGGTTAGGTGATAGGATGATGGTGAATAGTGAATTGGAAAAGTCGTGAAGAAAGTGGTCATGGTATAATTTAAGGCACTATCTAGGCCTTTGCCTTGAAAATGAAACTAAAGGGGTGATGTTTTGAAATAATGTCTGACATTCAGTGGGAATCACAAGTGGTACTTGACAGCATTACAGAAAATGACTTCCACAGTGTTTTGAAGCCTGGAAAAAAATGATGGGATCGCTGTATACATTCCCTAGGGGATTATTTTGAAGGAGATGACAGTCAAAATTGAGCAAGTTAAGCGAGTATTTCTTTTTTGACCAAGTCCGAGAGCTTTCTGATAGCACCTCATGTAGCAACAATGGATGTAAGGGCACTTCATTTCTAGAGAAATTGAACTCTCATGAAGACCTGAAGACAACATTTTATGTGATCCTATGCAGAGAACTCCATGAAACCTTTGGGAAGCCCCGCACTTATACTGCATATCCCATGACAGTATTTGAAACATGTTTCAAAATTTTGAAAACCATCAGCATGTATTTGAAGAATCTTGGCTTGAAATGAGACTTGATGTGATGATTTTCAGTTGAAATATATCCTGGAAGGTATTTTGAAGTGTAAAAGTTGTTGACATAATAAAGTGATTAGGACTACTTATGCTGGTCCGTCCATACTTTTCCATGATTTGATTATGCTGATAACATTTGGTGAAGAGTGTAGATCATGAAGCTTCTGATTTTGCAGGTTTTCACCATTGTTACTTCCACTCTCCCCAGTGCAAAGTATTTTCCTCAGTACTGTAATCTTGCCCTAAGGCAATAGACAAGTTTTGCACCCATACAAAACATTAGATAATATTACGATTTTATTCATTTTGATCTTTATAGGTTTAGGCAAGGGATGCGTACACAAAACAATCTGAACTGAATGGCAGCAACTCGCCATAATTATGAGCTGCCCTAGTAAGTGTTTAGAGCCCCTAATGGTTTACTCGTCTTCTAAAAAGTTGATGCCACTTCGTTAGGGATGTTCTGTGCTGCTTGTAAGATTAATTGAGAAGTTGGACACATTTTGGAAGTCATAAAATGGTCCCAAGAAAGTGTGTGCAACTTTCAAAGATGTGCAGTTGTGCAACATTGTAGTATCTGGCATAGAATGGTGCTGGGTAGCTACCTTACCAGAAAATTGGGCAGTCCTTGTAATACAGATGAAAGGAACAGGGTATTGGAGTGATCTGAATAAGATAACCTTACATCTCCCTGTAATAAAGATATGTGGACTTCAAGTATATTGTGGTGAAATAAAGACTGATTTTAGAATATTACACATTCTCCACCCAAACCGGTATATATATTTATGCTCATTAGTTCTTGTTGGATTAATGATAGGATTGGTGCTGCCCTTGTACACACTGTATGCCTTCTTGTGTATACAGTATAGGACGTTATATAGTTGTCATTTCCATAAGATCAGAATGCAGTGTAAAGTCAGGTCACTGAAAGAATGAATACAGATTTTCCGTGTCTNGTACCATCAGTCCCGCCGAGCAAGCGAGTTCGGCCACTTGCTTAGTGGTGTCTATAATGCTTCCCCCATCTATCAGAGGCCTTAGAGACTATTGTTGGGCGGGAAACGTCCTGGAATTTGGCTCAGTGATCCCCTTTGGGGATATGAGGTTCTTTTACGTGCTGTAAAGTTACGACACGGGACACACAGCTTAAAGTCCCTCCCGGAGGACTTGTTCCCTGAATTTTTCTGCCCTTAAAAATTCGACGACCTCTGCCGGGTATTTGAACCCGCGTACCACGAGTCATGAGGTGGGAACGGAGGCTGCTTCACTGACATCCTTAGGTGCACCACTCCATATCTGTATAGTAAAATGAAACAGTTTAGGAAATGTTTGTATCACTACATAATGCAGGGCCTTGGTGGTAAGCATACAGTCACAGTTCGTACCCTTAGTTGTGATTAAAGCTTTTTAGTAGGAAACTTAAACTATCTGACAAAACAGGTTTTATGTGATTAAGCCTTTTTAAATTGTACATATTATTACTTGCATTTCTTATTACCAGTTGTACTCAATTTGTTATCTTATATTGTCAATGTTTAGTTACACCTTTTATCATTAATTATATTAACATTCTAAACTATTCTTATATTATAAACTAGTTTTTAGATAATTGCTTCAATGCATAAGCAAGATTTGTACATAATATTTTGACTGAATTTTTTATTCTAAAATTGTCAATGTTTTACTGTTTTTAAGATTAATTCTTTTATGACTAATGTAAACCTTATCTACTGTTAATAGTTTTTTGACAGCTACTTGATTGATAAGCAAGATGTGATTAAGCTACTTGATGATTTCTATATCTAATTGGTTGTTTTTCGACCTTGGAAAGATCTTGTGGAATGTGAATAAATAAATGAATGAATGAATGAATGAATGAATGTGGCTCAGAAGCAGAGAATAGAGAAGATGGAAATGTAAATTGAAACACTTTCTTTTGACTTTCATTTGTGTAGTACCCGATTCACATCTTGGCCAGAGCTATCATGACTGAGAAGAGTTCAGTCTATATTGTCTGGGATATAATGCCATGCAGTCTGGTGAAAGTCAGCAGACATTTTGGAGGAACAGTTTAGTTGCTGTGCTTTATACCTTCCAAATAGTGAGGTGCTTTTGTAGTGGTAGCCATGTCACAATACATTAACCTTACTCAGGTTTCTAGGATATATAATATTGCATTGTTTTATAGGCAAATATGCAACGGGTCCTGATCAAGTGGAGCCAATGTTTCGGTACCTCAAATCTTCGTTTACGGCACTCCAACTAGTTGTAGTCATTTTGCCAGGGAAGACACCTGTGTATGGTAAGTGGTACAGACAATAGAATGATGCATTAAGGTCCTCTGTCTCCTCTGACTAACACAGATTTAACATTTGTTGTCCCAACTTCCCCAGCGTTTGTTACAAAATTTTATGTTTAGTTTTATTACAGCACTTTATGCAGCTGTATGCCCTTCAAGCAAACAGTGGACCGGAGGCATTCCCCTTGACATTTAGTGTTCCCATTGTGAGTGGTCGACGTACTTTAACTGTCTTGTGTCCCAGAGAGTTAATTAACGGAACTTTTTGCGGTGGTGTGATGCACTGGGGAAAACTATGGAAGTGATGCGTAAACTCACTGTATTATATCATAGGTGAAATCATTCCCCTGGTTTCATGCTTTATTTTATTATGGGTCTGAAAATGTATATTTGTTATTGTTTTGAACTCCTTGATGGATGCTGTAGAATGACAACATTCTGGAATAGTTTCATGTGGTGCAGAGATAGTATATTGTAATTCTTAAAATGAGTACATGCAACAGTACTCCTAGAGTCAGGAAATGGAAATAACATTTTGTGTGCCTTGACAGTAACTGGTGCAGATAGCCTAATCTGCATTAGGTTGGGTGCAGGTGTGTTGCATGCAGCCAGTTTCATGATGCAAAATATTGTATTTAAGCATCGTATTGCATTAAGGTATCTTTTGTACACACATATAATTCTGTCTTAAATGTAACTTAATATAATGTCACCCTTTTTCCTGAGTACATGTTTTGGCTGCATTCAGCCAATCAGGCGTTCTCTATCTTGATAAAATTTTGATCTGTATGTCAAAGTTATATATCGCATATGAATGTGATATTCCCTAATTAAAATTAAGTAATCTTGGAATTAAAATTAATTAACATCTTAATGTTATCAATTGTGGTAGTCATCCATACTTGTAAGTACAACTACAAACAACTATCAAAACTTATAAAACCAACAAAATTATATACACTATACATTATTCACAAATTACAAATAATTCCCATGCTGAAAAGGTAATGCAGTGTCACTAAATCCAATAATGAGAAATGCTTTTAAGCAAATATCTTTTACATGAATGGAAGATGACCACAGTGGATATAATGTTAAGTTGTTAATTAATTTTAATTCCAAGTATAACAATTTTAGCAAGATAGGCAACACCTGACAATGGCTGTATATGGCCGAAACATGTAGTGAGGAAGAAGGGTTGCATTTAAGACAGAAATATTTTTGATGAACCTGGTGCAGACAGTGAAGATTTATGAATCATGTCCCACACAGATGAATTGACTTTGGTGCGCGCACGTATGGGTCCAGTATCCACTATGGATATCTTGTAACATACTGGAAACTGGATATGGGTGGGCTCCTGTGTTCTAAGGAATCCCGTTGCTCTGTTTGTATATCTTCACTGAAGTGCCCATCTTGGCAAGTTAAAATTCTGGCTGGAGCGCTTTAATATGTGGAATTCACTTGGATCTGTAATCAAAACACAGTAGCATGGGAAAATATTTAAAATGTAAGGGTAAACCAACAGGTGTCAAAATGTAATATGGGTTCCAGTTATCAGCAGAAGCAACTTGGACCAGAATATTACAGTTTCCATCATGAGTGTTTTAACACCACCCCAACCAAGAAGATAATTACAGCTTGAGACATATCAAATTTATCCCGAATATGGGCAGTTGTTCGTGTTCGTGGGCGAGTTCCAAACTCATTCTGCCATTGTCATACCTCTTTAATGTTTTCGTACTTCTTGTACCACTTCAATACAGCCTTGCATTGCTCAAAGAACAGCCTTTCAGCCATTGTTGCTGCTGTCTTCTGCTCACAGTGCGCACGCGGCATGACACTCACGTGACTCATGTGACCTTCACCATCTGTTGAGAAAACATTACACTATACTACCGCGCAAGAATTGTAACTACATGTCATTTTGTTCCAAAGATATTGACTATCAAAGAGTGAGTACATTATTTTTGGACCCCCTGTGTTATGCACCATAACTTCTAGGTTTTTTTTTTCCAAAATAATTGTGAGTTTCATGAGTAAATATGGCATGTTATTGATGAGAATTTTATTGGAAGTTGTGCAGTTAGTGATAGAACCCTTGGTATATCAGTTCTGCAAAACTAATTAAATCATACGACTTATATGTATAACCTCCTCGAAAAGAGAATCTAGCAAGTTCAAGTGGAATCAGTATATTTGTCAGCTGAATTCACAACGTTGCAGCACATAAGATAATGAGTAAGAGTGCACTGTGTGTTGTCTCTTTTAAGTATTTTGAAAAGTGTTGTATGTGTCATATCTACAATTCATAATTTCTAGATAGATTCTGGAAACAAGACGGTCCCCTGTTGAACACTGCAAACTTTGTTAGACTCCATGTACAAGTTATCAAAAGCGAAATTAAAAGTTTTGTACTGAAAGCTAAATTTCCGTTAATTCATGAAGTGACTTGGCAAGTAACCAACTTGCAATGCAGTGTCTGTGTTCCTTTTCCATGATTATAGATTTCAAAAAGTAAATATAGGTGAGTATCCTGTAATTGAGTTTAGCTGCTGTGCTCTTGTACATGGAGCTCAAGGCCCTACAACAAATCTTCTCACCAATCCAGTGGAAGAGCTACAAGCGTGTGTTCGACCCTATGGCATGTTCAGCAGGCTGCAATCAAAACCCCTCCAGATCACAGCGATGCCTGTAGTAGTCCCTGTATGCTATGGCAGGCATCTTTGCACCCTGTAAAAGGGTCATGATTTTTTTTTTTTGGAAATGGTGAGCTTTTAAACACCAGTCCTCTGTGCAAGGCAACAAAGGAATTATTGAGAAGAGCATTCAGGCTATGATGTCATCCAGTCTTCAGTGATATTCAGCATTTTCTTCTTATTCTTTTTGTTTGATAACGATCCTGTCCAGCTAAATTTGTATACAGTTGTGTGAATAGTTTTTTATTTGGAGCTGAAATATCCTGAGATTCGTGTCGGAATCTTACGTTTCACATGGGTATTATTTATGGGCACTCGTTCAAGCACACAACTCTCACGTGGGATTTTGATACAAGAAGTGATGCATCTCATTGAGATATTAATGCCGAGGGCTTGTGATTATGGTTGATGAGCATGTAACACAGAAGCTTGCTTCACATTAGCTGTTTGAAGATTTATTGGGGCAATACTGAAGAGAAGTTCTAATATGTTGTGACATGTGAACGTGTTACCAGGCAACAGATGTGTAAACACGGTCCAGCATGCAACAGTAGAGGAAGCTATTTTTTGTATAGACTGGCTGGATAGTGATCGCGTGATGCGTGTCTGTTCTGTAGCTATGTAAGTATGAGTCCAGGGGGGTTCAGGGCAGTTACGAGTGGTATTAGTGGCAGAAGCACGTGAACAAGCACGCAAGGAGTACAGAAGAGCACAAGAAGTCAGCCTGTGAAGATTTAATATGTGATTTGAAGATTTTATATGTGCTACAGTCAGTGGTATTAGAAGTGTGTGATTTAGGGAGACTTTTAGTTCGTGTGTTATAAATCTGTGAAGACTGGGAGATTAGTGTGGAGTGCTTTGTAGTGTGAAAATCAGTAACTGTTGTTATTATTTGTAGTTACAACCTGTAAGAATCCAATAAATCCATTTACCAATCCAAAACCCATTTTTAGTCACTGTGACATGTGACAATATATTGACTCTAGGCATGTTATTTACTGTGCCAGGAGTCACAAAACATGCCGTGGGAGTTGATGTGAACAGCATGTGTCTGTGCTCCTGGACTGGGTGAATGATCTGTGGCAATCTGTCAGATAGTTTCCCTGTACTTAAATTAACATCAGTGATGCAGAGAAAGTGGATGAATCTTACTCTTACGAGAACAGTGAAATTCTTAAAATTTAGGAACATAAGCTGATCTTGCATATACATGCACTTACCCTATTCACTCAATTCAAATACTGTTAAAAATTTCTCACATTTTGTAAAGTGTCCAGTAGAATTACATACATTTTTGTGAAATAATGTTGGAACAAGTTTCATTGTACTTAACACTGTTTTTGTTATTAGCTGGTCTGAAAAATTCTTACAGCCAAGAGACAAAGTTATGTTTGTCAAATAATAATCGTAAAAATTGCCAGTTGAATAGAAATGTATTTCCTGTCTGTGGATAGCAGAGAGGGGCTGTAAAATTATTTCTGATTGCTACAGATAGTGTACTCTGCATATATGACTGCTGTAGTGGTGGGGTAGTGATCATCATATGTGGGTATGGGGAACGAACTTGAGAGGTTAAGTGTCCTGGAGTGTATCACATAAGAACACTTGGATTGTAGCAGTTGTCAGTGGATAGTCACAAACTCATATTGTCAGAGGGGACAGACATGTGACATGTGTCTTCATTTGTTTCAGCCGAGGTGAAGAGGGTGGGTGATACTGTTTTGGGTATGGCCACACAGTGTGTTCAGGCAAAGAATGTAAACAAAACATCACCACAGACCTTGTCAAATCTCTGTCTGAAGATAAATGTGAAACTGGGAGGAATCAACAGCATCCTGGTGCCAAGTATCAGACCGAAGGTAAGCATTGCCTGTGGGGCTAGACATCTCAGTAGTGGCTGTAACTAAGCACAGATATTTTATGGCATGCTTAGCATATACAGTCAGAAAACTGAAGTGAGGACTTTCATCCCATAACAGCAATGTAAATACTGCAGTAGATAGAGCCAGTTGGATTATATGTATTATCATGCAATTGAGTGACTGTAGATGGGGTTTGGATTGGTAATTGGCGTTATTGGACACGTTAACGCAACACATGACTACACTTTAAAGATCACTGTCACAGTCTTCACTTTGTCGCTTGGTAACGTTTTCCAACAGTAGACATTCCTCTGCTTCTGGCCTCATATTCTTGCAGGCTGGTGGTCACGTCACACCAACCCCCTATTCTAACTGCTGTCTCAGGACTATCTTGTAATGGTAGCTGGTCCCTGTTATGTAGCCTCAGCACGGGCCACACAGAAAACACGGCTTCCAACAGTTACTCTGTTGTTGGGTGTTACAGAGCCGTTACCTAGCAGTAGCTGTTTTCTCTGGCTTCACAGCTCTCTCTTTGAGTAAATATGTCACCATATGATTGCAAGCTGTTGTTACAGTATGCAGTGAAGTGTCCTTTGGTAGTCAGTCTTGTAATTGTGGGGTTGGTATTGGACATTTCAGAAACTGGCTCTGTCCCTTGTCATCAGGACTTGGTGTGAAGAGCATTGTGTTTGCATGCTGTGTGGCTAGACTGCTCATTAAACCAACCCCTGATGATTGAGGCAGGGATGGTTGCTGGAAGGTCAGACATTAGCTCATCATTGATACAGCTGATTGCCCAAGAAGACTTCATTCCATTTGGGTTGTAGTTTTGATGTTCTTGAATCAGTTTATGCCTTGTTGACTTTCAGGTATTATTATATATAATATTATATAATTATGTAATATATACAGTAGAACTTGGTTATAACGTCATCAAAGGGACCTAAAAATAGTGTCGTTATAAACGAATGTCGTCGTAACCGAAATGGGCACTTCCACAGTAGCCTTATGTTAGTCACGTAAAAATCTACCAAAAACCGAGTTAAAGTGTTGCATTTTTTAGTGAAATACGTAGTTAAGTACAGACTAACGTAACATTAACGTGGAATTGCCCAAATGTGTAATATCAAAGACATATTACAGCGCTTTTCACTGACAATACACACAATATTTCACGAATCACTTTAACTTTCTCTTCAATGCTTAAAACTTTCCTTTTCATTGCCATGTTTTCGCTACTGCACTTCTCTGGGTTTAGGCAGGAACACTATAGGGTAAGTAGACAATGTGAGGTCCTGTTAGACGAGATTCTAGGAAAGGAATGCAGTTAACAACCTGCCACTTCCTCTTACACTGTTCACGCAGTCCCACGCCACACCCTTGTTTTCGCATAAAACCCACGCTCCTCTTGCAGCCCGCGGTCGTATTCTTCCAGGACAGTCACGTCAGCAAGTAGAGAAAGTGAGGGTGGGCAGACGCATCGAACTTTCCCAC